ATATTTCAAATTTCATTGAAGTATCCCTTTAAAGGGACACTAACATCCCACCATTTTTTTTTTCATTTTTTGCCAGGCGTTTTATTATGGTTGTCGGAGGACTACCCAATTAATATTTTGCAACAGAGTAGCGTATATTTTTAATGAAGCCAAAAGACGCAACTGATCGAAACCGAAACCCGCGCACGGAGGGCGGAGAGGAGAGAGTGAGTGGCGGACGTCACGTGGCTACACCCAAAAATGCGTTTTTTTTTTTTTTTTGTTTCTGCGTAGCAGACGACATGTGGGGCGGCGTAGCGGGTACTGTTTGCCATGCGATTCTTTTGCAGTTATGTTTGTTCGGCTCGCTGTTCTGCACTTCAAGATGAGTTGTTTTGTACATTGAGGAGTTGGAGATGAGTATACCACTGCCCCTGCTGGATTTCCGTGATCGGCTCCGAAAAGAATATATACACCCAAGATGTTGCGTGAAGAGCTGTAATTCACATGTCCTGCGTCCGAAAAAAAAAAAAAAAGTGGCATTGTGCGACAGTTTCCGAAAGATCAACGGGATCGGGAGCAATGGCTGGCTGCAATTCCTGTAGAACATTTACGGGCACCTCGGAAAGCGGACGCTACCTGATTTATATGCTCCTTGCATTTTGTAGAAAGTGATTGCATTGAGTTCGCAGGTGTCAAAAAGGAAATCCCATACCATTTAGTTCAGCGACGTTTCGTCCACAACATTTGTTTATTTTTTGTTTCTTCAGTGATAATTGTAAAAAAAGAAGAAATGTAAACATCGCAAAATGTATCCGCTCCTGCCGCGTGTGAAGCGGACGTCTTTCCGCTGAGCTACTGGGGGACTCCCTCCAGTAATAATACAGCCGGTAAACTGTAGTTAGAAAGTTTGCTGCCGCCTTTCCTCCAGTCGAAGCACCATGCACGCATTGGCGACATTCGCACCCAGTAAAGAAATCGTACGCGTGCATATTCAACTCAATGGACACACTTCGTGCGGTGCTTGACGTTTGCGCGAGAGATGTCTTCAGCCACGAGAAGGGAGCGACGGCTCGGCGACGTCTTCGTGCAAATCGGCTTGGTGGTCGGGCCTGTTGTACCGGATGAATACCAATTCTTTAAATCAGTCCAAAATTTCTCTTTTAAAGGCAGACAGAATTCGCCGGTACCGCGAACGAGTTCTGAAGTAGAGGTCCCACGATACGCGAAACGACGCACGCACAGAATGCTTCCGGTTCTCTGTGCAACTTTTTTTTTTTTCAATCAACGTATTTACAGCTTTTTAGAAGCCACAAAAAATTGTTTTCGTATTTTTTTCTATTTTAATATTGAGTGTGTGCTTTCAGTGACCTACTACTTTGATTAACTTTGGTGGTCGCGTCGAAACCTTAGAAAACGGCCCGTGACCACGGAAAAGAGAGTGAGCGAGACTCGAACCGGCCAGTTCTTGATCGGCGGTTTTCGGGCGGAAAGAAACCGAATTTCGAGTCGCTAATTGTGTTCTGGGTAGTTGGGCTCTCATATGCAAGGAGGCAGGGCCATACCCAGAAAAATATTTCGGAGGGGGTTTTCGGGGACAACGGCGGCCATTTTGAAAGTGTCTATTGTCTTATTTTCGCCTATGAATCATGTGCATCGGTGGCATATAATGGAGAGTTACAGCAAACCGGAGAACCGGTCCCGGTGTGGTACCCGGTAGCCGACCGGCGCCACTGCACGTGCGCAGAGGTGGAGATTAAAATCGGCTGGCTGCCAGTGCACCGACCAGGGCCGCACCCAGAAAAAAATTTCGGGGGGGGGGGGGGGGGGGGGGTCAGAATTCCCTATCCCCCCCCCTGGTTACGGCCCTGCAAGGAGGTTAGAAGTACTAGGAGGGGGCACGTTGCAATATTGGTGAAGCCTAGTCAAAAAGTTTAAACGATTTTGTGCCCAGCGTGACCGCAGATCTCTCTGGCGATTGGTGCGCGTGACATGTCACGTGCGAGATGGATGGTTGATTGTAGAAGGACTCCTTGCAGGCTTGCGCGCGCTCCATCCGATAGGTTTTATCAGATCGGAGTCTAGACTGTGGTGTATTCTAGTACCCCACAGCAAGACGAAGGCTAGCCACGGTCACGTTGGCATGGTGAGGAGAGTAAGGAAGAAAATGAGAAAGAGGCGAGGCGTCAAGGGAGCATGGCTTGTGGAGGCTACGCGGCCGACGTCATGCCCTCTCCTACCCTTCTATTCTCCATGCTCATATGTCATGTACAACTAAAAACCTCGGCGAGCATAAATACCCTAGCCTGCCGAACCCTCAGCAGTTCCAAGGCTTGCCCTAAGTTGGAGTCTGAGATGATAATTAAGATTCCACGTTTTCGGATAAATCCGGAAAAATCCTAAAAACACCCACCCATAAAATTTTTGTCTATTTATTAGAAAAATTCAGATTTGCAAAATCACAATATATATATATATATATAGAAAAGGGGGCGTTTCACAAATAAATTTTATATAGGGAGGCTCAAGTGAGGGTGGGTGCAACTGCTAGATCGGGGATCACGGGACATGGACGCCATTTAATTGCTAAATTTTGCTGGGAGTCTATGGGGCAAAGGGTCGTTTTATTTCCTAACTCAGGTCATAAGAGCCCATTAAGGTGCTTGAATAATTTACGCAAGGTATAAATGATTACTTTTCCATAGCCACCAGTTTTGTTGCGATAGGTTAAGTATTTTTTTAACGCGAAAAATGGTAAATTCCGCCATCTTGGACGTTGCTGCTTGTCTGGCAACCCTGTCTTTTCCTCTCGACGTTTGCAATTCCCGGAGCGAGGAGGAAGCGAGAGAGGCTGCGCCAAGGCGTTCGTTGCTCGCACTGGGAGGCGAGAGGAGGAAAGAGTTGCAACAGAGCGGGCTCCTGCTCTCGTGCAGGCAACATTGGGGCATATCCTTTCCCGAATCCTCTCCCTCAGGCGCCGCCATTAAATTGCAAACGCTCTCCAGGTTTTGAGTTGCACCCACCCTCACTTGAGCCTCCCTAATTTTATAAGTGCACACGATCGGTGGTCTGAGGCCACTTCAGTTTCCTTTGAAATCTCATACTACTAACAAAGAGGGCTTAAGGCCCGTTCACACTCTTGCGACCTCTTAAACCTAGGTTCCTTACAACTTCTTAAACCAGAAAACACACTGGCGCCATCTATTGGGAAGCAGTGTAAACTCGGCGGTCCGGCATATTTTTTTTTTTATTTCTCGCGCATTATCCTTTTTTTCTTGGCTCGAAAAACTTTTGTCAATGTTATAAACGAGCCTTTCTATGGGTATTACGCACATTTGACCTCGGAAATCCCGCAAAACCTTCGCTCTTGTGAAATGCAGTTCCAGGGTCACCGCATAGATGGCGCCACAATGCCAGTTTGTTCTCTCATTTTAAAAACATTTAACAAGTTTTAAGAGAACTGGTCTCTCTCAGTCGTACTCGGTCGCAAGAGTGCGAACGGGCCTTTACCTTTTAGCTCGTTAAGGTTCGTTCAGGGCAACGCGTCATAATACCTCTGGGTCACTACAAAAAGCCATTGTTAATGCACAGTCCGGACCATACCATTTGTTCTTTCTAGAGGAAGGAGGGGTGGTGTTTTTATAACAATGGAATCACAGAACCCGTGGGTTTCAATGGAGGGGGAGTGCAGCCTATGCTTCCATGCTTTGAAGCGACTACTTCCAGGAGATTAGTTAATTCAAAGTATCGACAGTTACTGAGGCAAACACTTTTTTGTGAAATTTGCTCGTGGGATAGTTAGTATTGCCAATGGCAAGGGTGCCAATGCAAAATACCAGCTGCAGAAATATAATTTGATACAGGCGAGGTCTACTGAGTTGAGGGCAGGTTTCTGTCTGTATTTCATTTATACCTTGTTTTTGAATATTGAAAAATTGTAACTATATTATAGAAAAACTAAGCTCAATTTTTCAGAAAACAGCGAATCTAACGAAAATAAACTCCGATAAACCACTCCTTTCGAGTACAAAATAAACTTCGAAAACACCCTCCAAATTTCACGAAAAACAACACAGAAAACACGGAATCCTAATTATATTTTTCCCAAATGGAGTGGAAGTAAGCAAAGGGTGACCGTGCATAGCGCGGTCCGTTTCGAAGCATAGGATCAGGGCTTGCGGATTGGCTTTTCCGATATCGGAGCCGCCTGGGTGATCTGGGATATGCTATCATTCCGGTGTATTTCCAACAAATAAAATAAAGTCAATAATCCAATCTACTACCTGGTCAAGAATTAGGGCACTCTTTGATCTACCAGCCAAACAGCCAGTATGCAGAATCCATTAGCAATATATGCACAAATCTTGACAGCGTGACAATGGGATGTCACACTGTCATGCGACATCATCACCTGGCAGTGTCACACGATACCATGACCTGACCATGTGGCCTCATGGCGTGATGTTGTGTCACAAACTGTCATGCGACCCACCATAACGTCATGGTGTTAAGTCGTGACGTCACAAGTGACCATGTGACGATGTCGCGTAAAGGGTTGTCCAAGACAGAAAGGGATGTTTTCCCCCTGCTTCCAATCCACTTTGGGACATTTTTTGCCGGTGAGAAAATCAGCCTCCCCTAGCATCCTTGGACAAAGCCTCGGAGCGTGCTCACGATGTAGGGCAGGACATAGCCACTGGCCGTTGACAAGACCTCCACCGTTGTGGTTAATCCCCAAACTCCCGAGAACAAAAGGGAAAAGACGACAGGCAGGAGGAAAGCCGTGCTGCTTCTTGTGTGGTTGATGTCCTCGCTGAAAACACGCAGGCACCCTGCAACATTCACGCTTTTCAAGACGCGTGAGAGCTTTTTTTTGCCGTGCACAGCAGAAAGCATAGGGCTATCCAGACAGGACGCGCTGCATGGGATACCTGACGTGAAGGGATTCCAGGCAGTGGTTGCCGAAAGAAGGCCACCGGGAAGCAAGAACGGTGGGAGAAAGGATGCCACGAGACGTCGCCGAAAAATATAAAACTTTTACTTGTCACACTCACTCCGAGAAGGCACACGCGGGGGGTGTCGGTTGGGGCCACTTGGTCGCCGAGTCTCCCGCAACACCTTCCTCGACAAAGTCTCTCGGGTTGTTGCCAGCGGACAAACGGCTGCCCCCCTCTTCTAGCGTTGGCTTTATGGCAAAACTTAGAAACGCAGACGGAAAACGGTGGCAGCTGCAGATTGACTTCGTGGAACTTGCAGTGAATGTCTCTACACACGAAACCCCTTTCTTCGCACCGCACGTCCAGCTCCGCTTAGGACTCTTTCCGCCGAGACCTCAGACGTCGTCAGAATTCAGCTCGTTCTGAGGCACTTTTCACGGCGATGCTTTCATGAGAACACTGCTCTAAAACTAAAGGGGCCTAGAAAGCAACAGTCAAAACCTTACGAAACCAAGAAAAACAAAAAGCTCGACGCAGTTGTTACTTACGAAAGTGTGAAACCTTTCGCAGCAGCACCGCCTCAAATCTCGGCTTTGCCGTAGACTGCATTTCCAGGGCACGTGAGAAGCTGTGCACGAGACAAACCGACGAAGCAAAAAACAAGTGGCGAAGAATACATTAGGCAGCCAATCGTCGTCCGGCAGGCCCGAAAGCCATGTCGCCGGCAGAGCAATGGGCCTGGCGAGAGAAACAACCAAACAGCAACGACGTCGCAACACTCCGACAAAGACGACGAGACGCCGCCGATGCTTGCTTTCCCGGCACTTTCGGCGGAAGACTGTCGCAGCCACTCAAAGCCCGGGAAAATCTCACTAAAAAGTTCGACCAGACACAACAGCGAAGACGACGAGCAAACCAACCTTTGATGCATTACACCTCTGTGCGCCCAAAACGCGGATTGCTCCATTCTCGCGCTAGTATAGCCCCTTTGAAACTGAGGTCTAGTTCCGAGCCAACTCGACCTCTCAAAGTACTGCGTTGACGTTTGCGGCCATTGACCAACGAGCCATTGCGGACCTCGAGCGTGGCACTCGCTTCTGCGAGATGAGCTGGAAGGGCCGAGTCGGTGGAGACGACCGTTTCGAGCTTCCCGACGGCAGATGGAGAGACGCTCGTGCCACTAATGGAGGGAACGGAGGAGCTTCATCTTGGTGTCGAGCAGTGCCCCCAGCTCCTTGAGGGACTCCTCGTAGCTCTGTTCGATCCGCTGATGCACGTCCTTTGCGGCGTCTCCCGTGCTCTGGAAGAGAAAAGCAGACGACGCCTTGGCAGACTCTATTCTGTGCTTTTCATTTTTAGTGTGGTCAATGCCACAAACAATTTTTTTGCTTTGGCTAACTAGCACTCGATAAACTAAAGGATAAGAATCGGTCTATGTTTACGAATGCTGGTTTCTGTAAAAGAGTTCATTTAGGAGGCTCTTCATATCCCCTTTCTGTATTTCGATCTATCAATCAGTTATGTCACGTGACATTGGCCCAGATGATGTGCTGGCACGTCACAAGCAAACACGAAATACGAGCTGGCTACCGTTAAAATGCAATTCTGCATAAAAAAAAAAAGAAAAAAAAGAAGAGCCACTGGAGATTTTTAAAGCATGTGCCAAAAAAAAACAAGAAAACAAGAGGAGGGCGTACAGGCAGGATGGGCTCTTCCTCCTCGACAGAGAGGGTGGCCATGAGAGGTGCCAGCAAGACCACCCGCGCATCTCCAACCAGGGAACGTGCATCCGCTGCCACCGCCTCCACTTCGGCCAGGAGGACGCTAAACTGCTTCAGGGCCACCTGCGTTGCGAGGAGAACATCAAGCAAGTGACACCTGCAGCGTGCTATGCAACCTCCTCTAAGGAACCACGGAGCCTGGTTCTCTAAAAACAGGTCTCAGCTATTGCGCTGAAAGTAGGCAGTGAAGCCTCAGAAATACAGTCTAAGCTCATTACAACAGACCTGGTTACAACAGACATTTGGATATAACATACCGATTTGTGAAGTTTGGTTGGTTTTCCTCTACATACCATTGACTCAACTTCATATCTGCATACAACATACTCCTCTTACAACAGACCGAAATCTTGGTCAAAATCAATGTCTGTTATAATGAGCTTAGACTGTAATTTGTTTAAGTGCCTGGACAGAACATGTATGTCCCAAAATAAACTTTCAATGAAAAAACATATAATTTAGTGCGACTTTTAGGTCATGAGACTCATTTTGAGGTGGAAACGATTCCAAAACATGCTTCTATTTGGAGATGTCAACTCCTAAAAAGAAGGAACTTTTAGAATGACTCCAATGTGTCAACAGAAATATTACACTAAAAGTTTTTAAAAATTTTCTTTGGGCAGAAGTTTACCTTGTGACATGTCGTGAAAGAACACATGTAATACAAAATGCAATCTAAGACACGCGGAAAAAAAAGAAGAAAAAGATTGATCCGCGTATTGCGACCCAGGAACACATAGGTCCGGAGCATACACTTGCAACGGCTAATGTTTACACTGAAGCGAGGTACAGCACATTGTTCTTTCACGAACCGAGCAAGGTTCATACCGGTCTCAGGAAAATTTCCTTATTTCTGCCCCTGGAAATTTACTCTTGTAGGGCACAAGAGGAAATTTCCAAGTGTAGAAACGCACAAAATGCTTGTTTTGGTGTCCTTTAGCCACGAATGCAGCTTTCGTTCGCCATAAACTTTCATCCCGTTGCACTGTTGCCGATGCTCTCAGCCACTAAGATGACTTTCTTTTAAGGGCGGACACTACTCAGGAAAGCGAACGTTATAACCGTCAGTCTTATTTGTATGAAATTTGCAGGCCATACTCATAGCTGGGAAAGAGTTAAGTTTGTCCTTCAAAAAGTTACATAAAAGTACATATAATAAATACTGTGCCCCATGACGAAAACTATAATTTAGAAAAGGTAATGATAATAGCCAGTTCCTTTGCTGAAACATACAATATAACACCCGTGTCGTGCGGCTATGAGAAAAAATGACAGAAATTATACTTATTTTTAAAAGTACAAATGTAAAAAGTTTTTTATTTTCTTGCATGAGTTGGATTGAAGATACTGCAGCTTTTCATACCAAAAGAACATGAAAATGCCTAAGTAAATTCACAGCTGTGCTCCTTACAAAATTTCAGTACATAAACTTACGAAATAGGCTCCACACATCAATTCATAATCAAATGATAGTTTTCCTTAAACCGAGATTTGATGCCAAAAAGTGAAACTTAGATGAACGCATGTGGAAGTTCAGATAGCTGCACTTTAGATGGAGCAGGCAAGTGGAATAATTTATTAAAAGAACAGGAGTGAAACATTCTGACAGCATCCCTAAGGATATTCGAAAGCTGATAAAATACTTGTTAAAAATGTGACCTAACAAAATTATCAAAACTTTAAGGCTTTCTTTTTTTTTTTTAATTTTGACAGAGTACTGCTTTTGCGATGATATCATCCCACAGCTTGGCGGGACGTGGGGGAAACGGGGGGCCTCAGCAACGTTGGGACACAAAGAGAAAAAAAAAAATTCCGAGGACCTTCTTATGATTTGTGAATGCAAAAGCATTAATGTCCAATTGAATGTCGCCAAAACTAGCCGCAGCACCGGCAGGGTGGAGGTGCAAACTCCGGCACTGACATTACGCTCCCCAGCTGCGCAGGCGCGGCACCCCCACTGCCTCCACGGCTTCTGTGACGATGCATCTGCGTTGCTGTGCTTTTCTTTGTGTTTTTTTTTTTTTTTCCTTGAGTGCCCCGCTTGCTTTTGTGATTAAACATCTGCATTGATGTGTTTTTGGCCGACGGGACCTTGCTTCCGGTTTTGCTCAGCCAATCGGAATTTAGCTGCCGTTTTGCACAGCCAATGGGAATTTAGCTTCCGTTTTTCGCTGCTACAGACAGAATTTAGGGGCCGTTTTTCGCGGTCACAGACAACGCTGGCTTCGCTCCATGAAACAGTTAACGCTTTCACATTAAAACATTTCCGCGACTGTGCACTGTATGCTATTCGGATCGGGTGGTGGCGTAACCTTGCAACTTGCTGCTGCTGATGATGGCTGGAAACCGAAACTGTGTAAACCCTCGTTGGCGCACGCCTCGCAAAAGCTTAGAATTGTTCGGATCCGCATATGATACGAGCACAAATTTTGCAGACAAAAATAGGGGAAAATCTTTAAATAATATGAGAGTTTCCACAGTGCTATGTCCCAGCCGAGGACTAAAAACAAAAAAAAAAGTCTTCCAAAAGTTCAGAGTAGCTGAAACTGATATCAAATGCTGCATTGGACAGACCGTGGAGGTAGCTGTTAGTTGCTAAGGGCAGGGAAAGTGGACCACAATATGGGGGAGCTGAAAAACAAAATATAACAAAGTGAGGACCAGTTCTTCAGAGCGAATTAAGACAGGAAAGATTGAACAAATAATAATTTACTCTGAGAAGAAACTAAAACAAACAAAATAAGCTGAAAGCCAGCCTTGCCATCACGGCCTCGGTCAAATCCCGGCGATGTGCAGCAAACCACAATTTCAGTGCTCAGTTTAGCAAACTGTTCTCCCGATTCTGGAATAATACAAGAGTTGTGGTGTTGTTTATGTGGACCGGGCAACAAAACTCGTGTTTTCGCATCCCACCCAAAAAAAAAGAAAAAGAATGCTCCTAGAGCGAGACAAAAAAAAAAAGGCTTCTTAAAGCAGTCACCTCGTCAGTGGCAGCCTCTTTCTTCTTCTTGCCCTTGCGGGTGACGGCATTTCTCGTGGGTCGGACAATGGTGCTCCCCACGGTCAGCACCAGGCTGCACCATCCGACCACCTGCCAACATCGGACCAAGGTGCCTACAATGAAGCTGCGACGCTCAAAGCATGGATCGTAAAGTTTTGAAGCCGTTTAAACAGTCCCTGTTGATGCGAGCGCTTCTTCTAAACACAATACAGAGGAACCTTGTCGATATGTTCCCGGCTTTAGCGTTCAGAAGCACTGATCCCACCGAGCTCCCATAGGAAGATGTGAATTCATTTCCTGCTTAGTGCGTTTGCTTCCCTGGTCATTACGCCCAAAAAGCCGCCGACATGGCTCCGACGGCGCCGCCCGATTCACACAAGGGACCGATTTGCGGACGGATTGATCACACATTGACACGTTTGCGGATTGTCCGCCTCCCAAGCGCGTTCACACGGAGGGAGAGACGGGGGACAATGAGGACCGACCAAACCACTTAACGTCTGCGCAGTGGCACCGTCTTTCAAGAACTAATGCAATGTTTTTCACTATGGTCACGGCGCCATCGCATTAATACGAAAAAGAATCGTTGCGTGCTGCTCTTACTTGCCGGGCAAGACAGAACACCGTGAGAGGCTTAGCACGAAGCACCACGACCTTTACTAACCCAAGGCATAACGCAAGTGCGGTTCTGCTAGAGGAGGGTTGGAGTAGAAGCGATGGAGTCCTGGGCTTGCAGAGGGGCGCTTGCCCATGTCCTCGTCCCCATGCAATTGCATGCAACACTTCAATCCACCACAGGGGTAAAAAGGGTTTGGCCAACCTCGTTGTGTCTTGGTCTTGCCGGACGAGAGGCTGGATGGATGTGCAATACAGAGCGCGGCGTGCTAAAGTCAGATACAATCTAAGAAGGACAGTGCGAGGGGAAAAGGGCGGAAACTAGGAAACCTGAAGTGGAGAGGGGCAACCTCCTTTCCACAACGGCTTTTCTCATGTGCGCCCTTCTCTCCCTTGCACTGTCTTTCTTAGGTTGTGTCCGACTCTAGACGAGTGTTGATAGAAGCTTCTCGTCACGGACCTGGAGGAGTACCGGAACCTGCAGTGTGTCAGCCGGGAACCGTTCCTGCAGCTTTCTTCACGCGTGGAACCAAGAATCACATGACAAAACAAACCAGAAAACGAAAAAAAAACAAAAAAAAAACGTGGTGTTGCCAAAAAAAAAAAAAAAACTTTTTGAGTCAGCTCTTGGGAAAACTCCGTGCTAATATACAAACCGAAAAAGTCGAACGCCTCTTTTTTTTCTTCCTTTAACGAGCAACACAAAGATGCTGCATCATAATTGTGCTTTGTTCTGCTTTTGTTTGTTTGCTGGTCCCTGTTGTCGCGGGGTTCTTGGTTCCACACGCGAGAAAAGCTGCGAGGACTTCTCCCGGCTGTTGCATTGCATGTCCTGGCCCTCCTCCAGGTCCGTGTCAAAAAGTTTCTGTCAACACTCGTCTAGCACGCCGCGATCTCTCCTGCACATACTCTACAGCATGTATTCCAGCGAGACCACTTTTGCGGCTTTGGCAAACAGAAATGTTGCGAACAACTGTGCAGGGACAAACCGACGAGAACATCGGCAGAGACCCTTCTGCAAGCCCAGGACTTCGTTGTTTGCCCGTGTTCAGCCACCCAGAGCGCCAGGTGGAAATTACGAGCTTTTTTTGAACGTGTTTGAGCTCACACCAACGAATGTTAAAACTTTCTGATGTATCTTAGATCACGCCTACAATCTTTTACAGTATACTTATTTAGGTTTACACCTATGAATATGTACAAACTTTTACTGAGCCAATTTGAGTTCCTGCATACGAATGTTTGCGTAAAACAAATTGTTTCGTGACAGCTGCTATCTGTCTCATCTCGCCCCCTGAATGACGTTCTCGTTCCTTACGTTTTCCCGGATAGTTTGTTTTACTTCCCCGGTTCCCTAAAAAAACACATCAATGAGGTTCTACTGTATACAGGGTAATTAAATTTAATTTGAACACATTTGTTCAAAAACTGGGGGTGAGAGTTAATCAAGTTTTGTCTTCGCCATGCATCAGGCTTCGCGGACGTTAGATGAGGGAACAATCGTCATGGCAAGTTGACTACATATTTAACAAAAATCTCTCAATCATCTTTTTAATTATTGGTTTTTAGGCTAATGCTGAAATTGAAATATTGACTGCAATTACTACAGAGGCCAGACTAACTTAAGGAATTTGTAAAGAAGGTAGCAATGGTTTTTAAGTTATTAATAGACTGCATATTTTCCGGTTTTAACCGAAAAAGACCAATAAACATCCGCCGGTGTCGAAAAAAAAAAAAAATCGGTTAAAACCAATAACACTGGTTCTTAGATATTTTCGTACAAGCGGCAGTTGTTTTTTTTTCGCTGAAAGTGTCCTTTGTAAACGTTCCTCAAACTCGTTCATACTTTTTTCTTTACGGTCGTCGTTTAGATTTTCTGTGTTCTCAAGTAGTAATCGAGATGAGTTTTTTCTGTCAGTGCTCATTACTTTGACCATCTGTTTATGTCCCCAAAAGTTTGTCCTCATTGTGCCCTTTTGCAGATAGTCCGCTGAAGGTTGCCCTCCTTCTCTGGGGACCATAGTTGGGGGGTTTGAAGCGTCTTTTGTATTTTGTATGTCGAAGCGCGTCCGAAAGCTGCATTCGTTAGACTGGCCAGTACTGTCCCAAGGCTCTTTAAACATTTGGGACTTCCCTCGTCCAGCGCAAATGTAGAACGAGCTCTCAAAATTGCACGCAGTCAACAGGAAGGAGCGGGTGGGAATGACAGCTGCGAGCCTTGGAATGTATGCATGCATATATTTCAATGATGGTGCGTGAATAACACTGTGCATCGTATGTAAATGAAAACTGACCCGTTTCTCGTCTTGAATGTTTCTATTCGCGATATTCTCCGTCGATTATAGCCGTTTCAAGCGTCTGCTCGAGACAATTCACCGAAATGCAACGGTATTTTGGAAATAAATAAACACCGAAAAACATCTACCGATTTTTGACATAAATAAACGCCGGAAAGTATACAGCTTAGTTATTAATCAATACCATTTTGTGTTTTCCTGCCAGAGTTAAAATTTCCGCCCAAGAAGAGCGTCGAGAGCCCTGCCCATTATGCTGGGAACAGTGATGCTGCCGTTTCAATCATGCAGTCACTTTCTTGGCAGCGCGTCCTTGGCGGGTGCGCCGACGACAAGTGACGACGTGACCTTAACAACTATGTCGCTCTTCCTGGTGTTGTTGTGGGCAGGGCTTGATGCACTCGTTTTTTTAGCAATTTTTAAATCGGGTGGAAAAATGCGGATATTGATTGACTTATGTCTTAAAAACCATTACCTTTTTGCAACTTCTTTAAAATGGTCTGGCCTTTAATAGTAATTGCCATCAATATATTGCAATGGACCTTTTCCACATACCGACAACACCAGGCGGTGGCTGCACAAACTAAAAATCGAGGAAGTGACCTACCTGCGCTACCAATCGATAATGGAAGCTACGCTACCAGTTTCTTCGCTCTCTGAGCAGTGGTGCCTGCCCAATGCGACCTTAAAGAGGGGCATCCGTGGCGTCCACCCAAATGTCGTGTTTTCCTTTCTGTCGACATCTTTTTTTGTGTAACACAATTATATTTGTGCCGCAGTTACGTGTTCTACTCGCTGATATACAGCCTCCTTCCGAATTTCCTAGATTTTTCGTTCCGACTTCCGCTGCTTGACATCGGACGCTCGCGCGTGCGCAGAACCCTTCTCGGAAAAGGTCCATTGCAACATAACTGCTACAAGCAATAATTAAAAAGTTAATGAAGAAACTTTAGTTAATTAGTCAACTTAATGTGACAACTATTCCTTCATCTAATCTCCGTTGAGCCTGATCAACCCATGATCTCAATCCAATTGAGGCGCCCCTCCGCTTCTTCAAAAGTGCGAGGGCTGGCGCTAGCCAATCGTGGCGACGGATAGGCGGCCTAGGCTGCTCATTCGTCGTTGCAATTGGCCAGCGCCGACCCTCGTGCCTCCCTTGAGGAAGTGGAGGGGCGCCTCAATTGGAGTGAGGTATGTGAAATTTGGCGGTTAATGTAACCCCCCCCCCCCCCTTCCCCCATTTTTAAAAAATTTGTTCGGACTAAAATGAGAGACCCGGTATAGATTATAGTGACCTAGATTCACTTCATTTTTCCATAAATGTTTCACGCATCATGTGATGTTACCATTGAAAACCCAAGATAAAAAATATCTAGGAGGATGGACAATGCAGAAGCTTCATGGTTGTCCATAATATGATGTTAATACGAAATTTGTGCAAATGTTTGCCACTATTCGACGGTAAACTGGGAAGCGTTTTTGACAACCTTCTGGAAACCTTGACATTCAACCGCAGCCTCAGTTGCTGCTGCTGCCGACAGTGGAAGTGTTGCGGTACGCTGCAATTCGAAACATGCGAATGCCCATACCTTGCAGAGCCACTGGCCGCTGATATTGCGGTGCAAGCCCCTCACTTTTAGAGAGGTATGCAGATACACACCACAATAAAAACAAAATAAAGCTCACTGAACATTTATAGAACCAGCAGTTTCACCCACCTCTGCAAGGTTAACAAGCTGCTCCAAGTACATTTGTGCATCCAGCAGGCTTTTCACCTCTCGGGCTCGGACGTCGGAAACTAGGCCTGCACAGACGCGGTGCTTGTCAACTCCAGGGAAAAGCTTGGTCGCTTGCAACACCACAATGCGCGACATTGACCTTCCACGTGCATTACGCATTGGGCAGTGTCATTTTTATCAGGCAGATCTTAGTAATGCATCAATTATTTCCATCACGGCACATATAGGTTACATAGATTTCATAGAGCATTGATAGAAAAACGGTAGCACATGAAATGTGGAAATCGGTATCATGCATGAAATTCATCCCGCCCTGACATGGTAAAGATAAAATGTAAAAGATAAAGCAAGTGTTATACAGTGTAGACCGCATATAACGTATGTCGCGGGAGTCGCAAAAATCCGCACTATAAGCGGTACCGCGTTATAACCAAAACATCAATTTTTCAGACCAAAATACATGCCATGAGACTACTTACGTTTGTAAAAGAATTTACTTTATGTTAGGTGAAAAATAAAGCTTAGTTTGAGGAAAGTCTTTATTTCACCAGACTAGAACAGTTCTGTCTCAAGCGTGTCACACATTTTGAAAGAAATGAGCGACTTTTGCCTGGCGCAGCCTTTTAACAGCGTCGCGGGTTGCGGACGGACGTTGCGAGCGTTCAGGATTGCTAACCCTAATCACTTTTGTCCGGCGATGAAAACGCGTGAAAATTCGCATCCTTTATACGGTACGCGCCAGTAATACCTTCAACTTGAGCACAGGCATGAAATGCTCCAAATAAGAAATCCGGGCGATGTTCGAAAACACAGAAAGCACCACTCTAGTCGAAGTAAACAAACACGACGACACGGGCGTTTCTGCCGTCTTGAGAGTGCCGCCACGACATCGCCGCACGAGTAGGTGGATCTTCCCTTCTAGTACGTGCTGGGTTATCATAACGACACACAACCAAAATTCACAGTCAAGGGTAGCGCTTTTACGCGGAACGATGAGCCTCCATCACGCAATCTACGTCGACGATCAAAACCAACGCCATGTTTGCGGATAGACGCAGCCGGCCCGCGACCGGAGAGGAGGAGAAGCGTTGTAATAGAGGTTGGGGGGGAAAGGAGAGAGCCAATAGTGTGTACGCACTGCCGGCATGCAACGCGCGCGAACACTTCTCCTCGACCTGCGATTGGTCTGTCGTTGCGGTTGTTTCCTACCATCGCAGCGGAGGGACGCGCACACGAGAACGACACGTGTATACGTCCCTCCGTCGCTATGGCAACTGCAGCCTCTCTCTTCGCATCTCCCGGTTTCTTCGAGCAACCTCCTTGCCCCGCGAGTGCCGCTCGCGGCTCGCGCCGTTATCTAGCGCCGCAAAGGGAAGCGTGCTCGCTGCGCCGGTCAGTCGGCACGGCCGCCGGGCTCTTCCAGAAACCGCACTATAACCGGTATTTCCCTTCGCGCGCCTGCATTTTAAGCGGTATGTAAATACATGGAGTTCTATGGGAGGCGAACCGGTGGTTTAAAAAAGCCGCGTTATACCCGGTCCTGCACTATAAGCGGTTACGTTGTAAGTGGTCTATACTGTACCTAGCTTTATTTTTACTTAATACCTTAGAGAAAGGACTGATGACACAATCTATACTTCTCAAGATTCTCAAAAACATGTTCCATCAAAAATTTTAGGCAGGGCTATTATGTTATATTATAGGGTAATTACCATAAGGCTAGCTTTAGAAATTTAGACAAATCTCAAAATGGGGAGTAGAACAAAGGGCAAGCTTACTTTTGACTAGAGGAACAAGATTGTCCCTAACTTTGCTATCTTCGCTTGGCACGGACTCCACCGGCAAGTCTGCAAGTAAAGACGAGACGAATAAGAGGCTGCCCCCAACAATCGGGGGAGAGGGGGGGGGGGGGGGGGCGGCAGCGGCAACACCTGCAATGAAGTGCCAAAAATCCCAAGACACCGTACTGAAAAAAAAAACACACTTCAAAGGGTTAAGACACGAAAATTAAATCGGTAGATTATTCTCGAAATGGGATGTTCATAGGCTACTTACTACTATATACACCAGGTTTCACAATTTTTAGAGCTCTAGTAATTGCAATAAATCAATTTACGAATTTTGAACCTTTTCATCCGGCGACCAGGCAATACTGCCCAAGTTGGTCAAACCATGGTGCCCATAAACAATGTGATCATGAACTCTCTCTCATTCTAGGCGCCCCCATGCTTAACCGAGCTTGCCTTTCCCACGGTACGATCAAAGCCTTTCACGCAACTCGGCTACTCCTACGCTTCTCTCGCTCCCAGCCCTTTGACCTTCCCCCCTGCATGCCTGTGAAAGATTTTCGCAGACGATGGCGACCATGGCGAGACCGTACGTGACGATGTTGTCATCGCTGGAGCCAGTCACCGGCAGGTCGCAGTCACAATGACCAGCTACCAACATCTCTCCATAACAACCACTCTCCTCGCTGCTGCGATTAGTGTAAAAAACTCAGACAAAGCGAGCGATACCGTAAGTGTAGTCACTGTGAACTGCATGCTCGAAACACGGAAAGTGTATGAGGAAAATGAAGCACGGGAGGCCGAGAGAGCCAAATCTGAAAGTGCGTGCAAGGGGATGCCGCGCATGGGGCGAATGACGTCATCGGCCAACGAGCATGGCGGCAATCCCAAACAGGGTGGATCTGAGAGTCCCCAGATAAATTGACGTACTGCCGGGACCGGTTATAACGAAGACAATGGGATTCCAAAACCAATTCGCTGTAAACGCTTTTTTGATATATCTAAACTCATAAAAATGCTGCAACAAGCAAAAAAAAAAAAAGCCAAAACGGGTTAGTACGGGCACATGTTGATCGTGCATGTAGAAAGCGGTCAAGGCTTCCCTGCACGTGCTCTCTGCTGCTAGATCGGAGCCGCTTCTCGCCAACTGCGAGAAGCTCCGATCAAGAAAAGATTAGAGGTGTGCGAATATCAAAATCTTTCGAAGCGAATCGAATCGAATAATAAAGGTTACGAATCGAATCGAATCGAATATTTTCGAATACGAATAATAGTTTCAAATAAGGAGATACCGTATTTGAAAACAAATATTTTCTATTTGATGTGAATTAAACAAGAATGCTTAATAAAAAACACAACTGGATTTTTTTTTCAACAAACGTTTATGAAAAGGTTACTTTTATTGCAATAAGAAAAATGTCACACATGTGACTTAAAGAAAAACAGATGAAAAAAAGATCAGTCTTTAAAACACCCTTCCTTGAGTGAGGTTAGAGAACGTAAATGAAAGTGCAAAAGTGAAGACGGTTCGGCAAGCCACAACGCAGTCGGAGATGGCATCGCGGACGAAAGGAGGCGCTTCAGCGTAAACACAAGTACAGAAGTGGTGGCGGGTCCGCAAGCCGCAATACAAAGTCGATGATTGCATCTCTACTTTGTGCGATCTCTTTTTACGCTCGTGAACGCAACCACGTGAACGTAAACGGAAGTACACAAGCGGAGGCGGGTCGACAGGCCACAGCACAGTTTCAGATTGCACGATCGCGTTGCGCAACCGCACTGACTATGCACCACCTCTTACCGTGTGCAATAGTTCTGTCCATAGAGGGCGCCACAAAGATGCAGTAAATTAAGAATATGTTTTTTTTTGGCAAGAGGGGGGGGAAGTCTCACTTTTACCAGTGAAAATGGGTAGAAATAAATAGCAAAAGGAATACTGGCAAACTGATGAACCGGAAAATCAAGCGGAAAATAACACAAGCCAGATATCACCGATAGCCGAGGTGAGCCATAAATCCATATCCGAATCCATAGCACCTTGGCTACTGTAGGTACGAAATCACGAATATATGGTTGTGCTACATTAAAAATGAATGTGGACAGGAACGTATACAAGACGTCTCGGGCGGACGCCCAAACCTTCGTGCGGTCCGTCACGACGATGCATGTGCCGTTGCAAATCGTAGTCCTTCATCCTATCTATTGCAGCGTTTGCGCCACGACCACTTAGCCAACTCTGCAATCCGGACATCACGGCAAGCAAAGGACAGATCGCGCTACCGCCGTGCAAATAACTTTCCTATCCTTCCTACAAAAAAAAAAGACACTTAGGTTGGTTGTGTAGGTTTGCCAAGCTTGAAACCATACTGCGCAGTCCAAAAACAAAACAGACACTAATCAATGAGTTCCGCGTTATTCGTAGTTTTCGAAGTATTCGAAGAACTCGAATAGTTCGAGCAGCGAAAGGGCGAAGCGAATCGAATCGAATAGCAAGCATTATTCGCGAAGTATTCGAAGTTTCGAATATTCGCACACCCCTAGAAAAGATCCTGTGAGCTACGTATGGACAGTGCCGACTGCTGCAACGGTTGCCACGGAGGACGCCGGCAGGGGATATTATTCTTTACATTTATGCACACTTTGTCGAGGATGGCATGTTTTTTTGTTTTTTTTCAAGGAGATTGTCTTTGTCTTCCAAGTCGAGGTGCTGGCGGTGCTGGAACTCTTCATCGTTGAGTGGCAATGATTCGCCGAATCGGTGCTTGAGCAAAGTTAGACTTTTGCGCAAGAGCGACCACACCGACCATTCACGCCGACACGGAACACGAAGCAAATAAGGAAGCGTGCACGGCACCGAGTTTGAGCTCAAGCTTGTCTTTTAATGCGAAAGCATTAACTGTCTCACGGAGCGAGCTGACGTCATCAGTTTGAAGCGCGAAAACGGTTCCTAGTTTCCGCGATTCTGCGATCCCAATAGGAGCAATTTGCCTTCAGTTCCATCGGCTGGCGCGAGTTGACGGGGCTCCCTTTGGCCACTGCGCCATGGCCTCCGAGATCCCGACACGCACGCGTGCCAGTATGCAGCACACGACAAAGTGAACGCACGAGCGGCTTGCATGCTTCTGCATTCACAACTCATAAGAAGTGCTTAGGTGTACCTTGAGCTTTTGTCGGTATAGAAAGCCTAGATTTAACAGAGGGGGCAACTGTTTGATCGGGGTCACGAGGTTTGTGGGCCATGTTTGCAAAATGAGCTGCAGCATGCAAGGAGTCAAAACTCAAAAGCTTTCCCCTTCTGCAGACGTGTCCGCCAATCCACCCAGTTTCCTCGCCACACTGGCCACGCGACAACCAAATGCAGGCATAGTTGCGCCTATCTGCCCAGGAGGCGTCTGCCATTAAACTGCAAATGATCTCAATGGTTGGAGTTGTTCCTTCTCTTAGATCCAGGATGTCTTTGTCATCTCTGCCTGTACGTCTGTTTTTTTTATAGCGCTCCGAACGCCCCATCGGCATGCCACAGAGGCTCCTCCATGTGCGATGCGGAAAAGCCGCTTCTCAGATAAGAAGCGGGGAGCAGATGACGATGCAGAGGCTGCCGCCGCCGACAGTTTCAGCAACGTTCGCGGCCCGTTCTGGCTGGTTGCTCGGCCGCGACAGTAAAGTGCGGTGGTCTAAGACTTAAAAAAACATTCCGAATTTTATATATTTTTCTTAAATTATCAGAAAATTTCTTTTCGCTATATCCGAGGGAGCCGATCAATTTCCTTCTCTAAATACAGACATAAATGCATTGAAAACATGCAAACGGGAGATGGCAAATCGTGATCACTTCGCTGTAGACGCTATTTCGTTATAACCGACTTTGTTATGACCGGTCTCGACAGTATCCACGAAAGTATAGCGCCATTTTCGAAACAAATTTAGCAGAAATCTGGGAACATACAATGGATCCTAGCAGTATAGTTGTCATATTTTATTTCTGGAGCATCCTATCCTTTTTAAAGCCTCAGTCCACTATAGTTTAACTTGAATAAAGCTCTACCCATCTGGCATTCATGTGTCTTGTGACCACATCTGACATTGAAGCGATGGTGGAAGATATCGATTAACGCCTCTTGCGTGCTATGACAACAAACAAACAGTTGCTGATACGTAGTCCCTCCCACGGTCTTACTACGGTGTGCCCAGCTCGAGCAAACGAGGTTCGTAAAGGGTTCTCATATAAAGCTATCACTTTCAAACAAACGTGCAACGTTCCTCGTCTTTCTGATAAACCCCACCGGAACATTTCCTGCCCGTGACAGCAGGAAAGAGAAGGGGGGAGGGGGCACTCACCCTCGCAGTGCCGGTACAGCTGTTCCAGCCAATGGAAGAGGCCCTGGAGAGTGCGCAGGCAGCCCCCACCCACAAACAGGGGCAGCCGGCTGGGTCCCGGGCACTGCACTGGGAACTGAAACCGCACGGGTGCATCGGTGGCATTAGTCAGGGCTTTGGATTAGACGTACGAGACCAGAATCCAAGGCTCAGCGCGATACTTTACGAATACACCGAGAAAATATGCAATGTTAGAGTCAATTTGCAAGTCATTCTTCCATGCTGTTCTCACTTAAAAAAAAAAAAACGAAATGAGAAATTTTGTAGAGGGCTTGGATGGGATGTAATGTTTTTGTAAATTTTTTCCCGAAATTTTTTATACTATTTTTAAAATTAATACTTACCTTGACACAATTCAGTTGGAGGTAGTTCTGCTCTAGACGCCGCTCATAACTAAAAGTGCATGAATAATTAAGTACCGTTTATCGGCTCTCCTTGGTTGGAGAGATGATTGACTTATGAAATTTTCGTTGTAAAATTGTATGGCAATAGTATTTTAACGGCAATACTTTTAAGCTTGAGACAAGTAATCTAGACAAAGTCATTACTGTTTTCAAAATTATCCCGAAATTGCCTTTTCCGCTTCGATTTCAACCGCTAACAAACATGGCTGCTGGCATTTGCGGTGTGCTCGAGCGTAGCTTGTTCAGCTCGTCTATTTTTATGGGTGCGAGTTGTTTTGCGCTCACCGAGGTGTTTAGAGGGAGACCTCCCCAACCTACCTGGTGTGCAACAAACAACTGTTGCAAGCACACGCCTTTGGAAGCGCTGTGCGGGTGCTTGTTTTAGTAGCGGGACTAGCCTTAGCCTAGCATCCCACAGCAAGTATCGCTTGATCTGGCTTGATTTGTTTGTTTATGCATGTTGATCCTGAATAAAAACACTGGTTTCCGTAAAAGCGGTCCTGTTGCTCCGTGAATTGTGCGATCATTGTGATTGCAATTACGGTTTCTATACCGGGAAGATACCTACACAGGCATGGATTTGCTATTTGGCTGGAGGCAATCGGGTGTTTGCCTCGCAAGCGGGTAGCTCTCAAGTTTTGTGGCACACCTGGCCAGCCAAAGCGAACATTTTCAGGCTGCGTTTTAATCGTGTGTCATGACGCTCAGCCGCGTTGCTTGCGAATGCCACGGGAACACAAAACAAACAACAAGAACAGAAGAGCTGAAAGAACTGTATATTAATTTCATTGATTTTCTTTACTCCTCTCGGTTGCTTTGTATCGCACACTGACAGACACTTGGCTCCTGCATGATGGAACGCTAGAACGCCAGTTTCATGGTTGCGTCTTGTGAGCATTGCGCCGACGGGGGCGGAATAGCAGACGGACACGGGTGATAACGGACGCCAACGTGCCACTTTCATGGATGCACCTGGTGAGCATTGGAAACGAAGCTAGACGGCGGTGGAATAACAGACGATGCCAGGGGCTGCCGCATGCTTGCACTCGTGGCTAGCAGACGGTGTCCGACGCTAGGCTAGACGTACCGGACATCGCGAAAGGCAGACACTAGGCATGCAAGCATGTCTGATTGAGCAGCCAAGCCAATCCAGTAGCAATGGGCGGGGCCACTGATCTGTGAATGGGGCTATAGCCATACTTCGGGGGAGCACAGGACTCGAATCCAAGCACATGTTTCGTGCCAGGAAACGGCGACCGCCAACGTTGGTTGACGGGGTTTTGTAGAGGGTCTACTTTTACTGTGGTGTCTAGAAAACGGCTTGACTGCTGTGTTTACTGCGTCCTAACAACTGGTTTCTCGATTTCTGCCCGATAACGTCACGGAAATGTCACACAATGCCAGCCGTGACCCTGGCAGCGTTGCAGTAGCGGCGGTGGACGTGGCAGACGCCCGTTCTGCTGCGGATCGCTCTCACCAGTCCACGGAAGCTCGGGAAGCGAGCATTTGGGACGCCGCGACGACAGGGACACTGGCGTTCCCTCGTGCTTATTAATGCAGAATCTGCTTTAACGAGAAACATTCTTTGGCTGGGTGTTCGGCATTTCGTGAAGCCCAGATAAAAGTGTGGCCTCGAGGCTCGATACCGATTGGCTGACGGGTTGGAGAGGGGGAGTGAGGTGCTCGACACTGATTGGTTAGCGGGGTCCCGCAACCAGAGGGTAGACGAGGAGGAGTGAGGTAGGCGAAAGGGAACTCAACCATGTTTGTGCACTGAGGGAGAGGAGCTTGAGAGTATGGAGGGCTCTGGAAAATCACCAGGTTTATCAGCTCGATTAGCAATAGTGTCGCTTCATTCTAGGAAAGAAAACTATCGAGTGTAGATATGGAAGGCGTTAAACTATCTGATGAAGAGCGCTGTGAACGTAGGTACGTAGGGCAAATGTAAAACTAAAATAAGATGCACTAGTGGGGCTTGATCCCGGGCCAGTGCGGCGGCGGACGGATACTATAGCTGCCGAGCTGCATAGCACAGCTACCCAAGAAAATGCAAACAAAAACACCGTGTTAAAAAAAAAATTAGAAGGAGTTATACATTATTATAAAAAGACTGAGACGTCTAGACGAACGACAGATGGAGCGTGGCATGGTCGAGTTTGCATAATGTTTTCGAGAACTTTTACGCCCAACTGCCGGGGTCGCAAAAAACGATTGCATGACACTATGGCTTTTGCGACATCATTCGGTTACAACTTTCGATGCATGGGTGGGATGGGACACTGAACGCACCGGCTGGACACGCTTTTGGGCACCGTGACATAATTGTGCTTCAAGGTAGCGCAGGGCTCGTATCCAACAACATGCTTCGCGCCCCCGGGAAGCGGTATACTCCGTTCACCCTTAAGCTGAGACTAGAAGCTCCACCTCCAGCGCGAGCTTTCTGTCCTTGCTAACACAAGTGTGAACGCGCAGGCACGCACGACCAAAGTACTGAGGGAGCCAGCGAGTTAGTGCCGAAGGCGGAGCTTCTAGTCTCGGCTTAAGGGCGAATGGAGTATGGTTGCCAACGTCGCTCGACGGGTTCCAAAAAGGTAAGTTTTTACGCGGGGATATCCCTCGAGTTCTGGAAAAGAGCTAACGTTGCCCCCCTTGGTGGGCCCCAACTCACGCAGGAGGCGGGGGAGGCCAGAGTCGAGGCATCCAGCTCGCGTGCGAGCTCGCCCAGGGAGCCCAGGAGGTCAGAAAGTACCGAGAGCCCCGCCTGGGGCCGCTCCCCATTGGCCTGGCAGCTGCCGTCGTCCCCGTGGTCCGCATGCCGTCCCCCCGGCCGTTGGGGGCCCCCCTGCGTCAGGGCATGGCCGGCGGCCAGCAGCCGCAGCAGCAGGTTCCGTATCCGCAGCCACATCACCTGCGCAGGACGTCATGCACAAAGGCAACGTTTCGACGAAGGGCGAGGCGCGGGCGGGAGGCACGGGCTCGTCTCACGCGACGAGCTCATTCGATTTACCTACGCCAACCCACACCAGTGCAGAAAAGTGCAGGGCACTGCACTTCCAGTTGTGTTTCCAGATAGACTGCACTCGTAAATCGAACACGGCGGTGTGCACAGAGTGCAGATGGAGCGGAAGGTGGAGGTAAATTAAATGAGCCCAATGTGTCACTATCTTCTCTCTCTAGAGTCACTGATAAGGCGGGAACAGCAGGGCGTGGCTTTCCAATGCCCGGACTCCAAAACACACTTCGTGCCTTTCACCGTGCTTTGGCTGCACACGTGTGCTCGAGATGCACGGGACATGGAAGCGTCGTCAAAGGTAGGGAGCTCGCGCCGGAGGTGGGACAACTGAACCTCCTCCCTGCCCTTCTCACCTTGTGAGTGACTACAGTTTTTCCAACTAACATTATTAGCTCAGTTGATTTGTGGAGCTCTACTAGGCAATGCGCGCATTCTGCATTAGGCGGCATTATTGCCCATCACTGACTAGCTTTCTTAGTGTGTTTGGATGACAAACTATTAATTGCGTCGTTACGACTTCGAAGCTTCGAGTAAATAGCTTTATAAATAGATTCGAAGCTTCGAAGAGACTAGGATTCGAGTAACGGCTCTATAAAAAATGGAAGACGTTTACAATTCTCTGTAATTCCGAATTAGAGTGCAGCTCATGAGGAGGAAGAGGGGAGGGTACAGAGAGGAGGGTATGCTCCTCCTCTGTACCTCTCCTCCTCCCCCTCCCTCCTGGCATCACTCGTAAAGGCCTAGTGAAGGTCGTGACCTTCACAAGTTTAGGTCATGTGAAGGTCGTGACCTTCACTATGAATGTCATGACCTTCAAAAGGTACCTTTGTGACGTCACGTATGATGTCAATATGAGAAACGTCCCATAATGCAACGTGCAGTTACGGCGCAGGCGATGCCGCTCAAGCCGCAAGCGGGCGCCTAAGAACTGCGCTCTAAAATGAACCGAATCAGGGCTTCCTGCAAACAGTTTGAGTAATGGCTCTACAGACAGACTTGCCTCCTCCTGCCGAGACCGCTCTAGGGCATCCGCCAAAAGTTTCCTGCAAGCAAAGTGTGGAGCCGCGTCAGTAGGGACTGTGGGCAGAACCGAGGCCGGCAGTTCCCGCTCCGCTCCCGGCCCAAGGGACGCGCGGGCGAGCACTCACTTCCTGCTGGCTCCCCACTCCCGGAATATCTGGACGTCCCTGTTGTCCCTGAGCTCGTGCCAGGCCGTCTTGTCTGCAAGGCGGGGCAAGGATCGAGACACACCTCAGCACATCTCCGATCCAAAGAAGCCTCGTCGAGTCGAGAGCTGCCACCAAACAAGCTACGCTTCGGGGTAAAGACAGTTCAGTCATCTTGGTGCTCCAAATCATTGTTGCCAGTTATCTGAAATTCCCACACATGTTAAAACGGTCCATGACGAAGCAAAACAATCGCTAGTTGCACCCGCTCCGCACCAAGCACTAAAACGATGCTGCCTGCAAGACGGTCGGGAAACAGAGCGCAAACACTCCATGCACGGACCATCTACGAGAAAAAAGATGCTGTACGTTTTGCGCCGACGTCGTTAAGCCGTCGTGAAATACCTCTGGCCTCCGGTTTCAGGCTCTGCACACGCGAGGGGCAAGGGATAATATCTTCAACAAACCTGGCTGCGGCTATTTGTACCATAAGGGCGAGCGGAAACACATATGTACATGGATGCCGACGATTCATACTGGTCGGATATGGTCGCCAACAAAATGAGAACGCCGGGGCGTCTTTCAACGTCCGGCGTCCGGCACAGCGCACATACTCGAGGTGCACGAGACGTCGAAGAGTCCTCAAAGGTCCTCAAACGAAGAGTCCTCGCGTTGGAGGCGGGACGACCCAAGCTTTTCTGATAGTAATGACAGGCACATTGTTAAGAGCACACCTGTTTTTAACCATCTTTCTTTGATAGTCTTATGTAAACTATGTAATTTAGAGCTGCCCATTTCCTAGCACCTCCTCTACCTCAGGGACAGCCGACAGTATCATTTGGAATAACTGTTATTTTGTACCACACAATACGATCGTTTGACTGTATGGTACGATACAGCCTATAATTTTTTGTGCAAATCTTATAATTCATTCGAAGAGCCAAGACCAACTAGTCGAGGTTTAGAGCTTTCGTGATGTACAGACATGTCCGGTATCTTTGATATTTGAGTTTGACACCGACTCAACATTTCTGGTTGGGAGCGAAGTAACTTGGCCCTACTTCAATCGAGCTCTACTGGTGGAATAATTTGCTGGCGGAACAATTTGAACAGTTTGTACAGGAGGGGGGCGGGGGAAAGTAAGGTCATTTTTTTATAGTATTTAGTATATAGTATTATAGTAATGCTAGTATATAGTATTATAGTAATGCTGTGTGAGATGCTCTTTCGTGGCCCTGGGCATGTTTCAGGCGCCAAAGCATGCAAGCTCTACTTTTAGGCTGTTAAAACAGCAATAGCAATATAAAAAAAAAAGAAGGAAAAAAAAAAGAATTAAGAGCAGAGTGTTTACTTACCATGAACGGGGTCAATCTCCAGGCAGCTCATCACTTGCTTCAGACTTTCTTGACTGCAAGGGAACAAAGGACAAGCAATCATGGCAACTGCATTTTGCTACGGTACAAAGACAAAATGTTGTTTTTGTTGACTAATTTTAATTTTTTTAAATATTACTGTGATGAGCAAGGATATAACTGACTCCCCATATACCTTTTGACTTCTAGCAGCAGTTCCAGAATCATCTTCTCAGCTGTCAGGGTTGCGAACTGAAGTGAATTGTTGAGTCGTTCTCGAAACCGGACAATCTCCTGAATCTGTGAGTGCAAAGGAGCAAAACATGCGATGCAACCACAAAACACACACTGGAGCCTAAAGAACACCTAGACATATAAAGTAGTCGTCGGTGGTGGTTCATCACGAAAAGCGATAGAAAAAATGCTATATTTGATTCGAGCCAGTCTCAAAATGCAGTACAAATTATTTTCTTTTTTGAATACATTTCGCTCTGTACCTACATAATCCAATAAGGCTTGTGCGTGGGAACAAATGGTTAAGCCTCTGACTTGGCTCCCTTCTTCTAAAACTGCTTAATAAGAATGGAACTTCAATCGCACAGCCATGCACTATTCAAGGTTCAGTGACCAAGTTGCAGCAAAGCCGCAACACAAACACGCCTGGAATTTTAGGCTCCACGGACAAGATAAAAATCTGAATTCTGAGCAACAAGGCCTAGCGAAGCACCACACACAAACGTCCAGATTTCGTAATTCCTTTTTTACTCACACGTGTAAAAAAAAAAGACAGTTCGTTGAATTCATAGCGAGCACTTAATCTCATGCAAACTTCAATTTCTGCCCTATCAACCCTAAAAAAAAACCAAAAAAAAAACAGTGACAAATGCAAGCACAGGTAGAAGACAGACACAGATACAACTCACCTTAGTGAATGAGCCATACTTGTAACAAGAAATGAGATAATCTGTTGTCTGGAATTAAACGAAGCAGCAACACTCATTGTAGAAAGCTATCCAACTTTTCACAACAGTTAACTCAGTAGGACATATAGTTGCACACTTGGCAGCAGACCCAAATAAAATAGCCTACTCCAATACGCCCAATTTTATTTCCAAGTCTTAACTCGCACAAAAAGCATACAATATATATATTTTCTTTCCAGTACTACTATGGTGCCTGGAACACGTCTCAGACTGTTGTGTTTACTGCGCCCCAAAAAATGGTCCCTCGATTTCTGCCCAATGACGTCGTAAGAGTGTCACGCTGTTACCGGCAGCGACCCTGGCGCTGTCACAGCATCGGTGCTGGATGTAGCAGACATCCGTTCTGCTGCAGATTTCTCTATAGCTTGACAGTTCACGAAAGCCTCGACAGCCGAGAGCTTGGATGCCGCGACAACGGCGACGCTTACGTTGCTCGTGCTCTTTGCCGGAACTTCTACGACCAACCGCCAGAATCGAGACATCCGACGGCATGACACTCCGGTTTTTGTGACGTCATTTGTTGCCGCTTCCGTACCACTTTCGATGCTTGGGCGGAATAGGACGCTCCAGTCGGAAACGTGCTCCAGTACTACGGTGGTACTACGGTGCTTGAGTCAGAGACATGCACCAGGCACCGTAGTACAACAAAAATAAAAAAAAGATGAGGTTTTATAAACGAGGCCAAGAATGTAGCCTATGCGGAGTGCAAGTTCGTCTGCTTCTTTTGCACGGGTTGCGGTGATGTAAGAATGATGCCGAGCTACGATTGGCTCTGATTGAAAGATAGTGGGTAGACCTCAAAGCAAGCTGCCTTGAGGTCTTCGCACTATCCTTCAATCAGAACCAATCAGAGCTCGGCGTTCCGACGTCACCACAACCTCTGAAAGAAGCAGACGAACTTGCGCTCCCCATAAGGTACCTTAATGACACACATAAAAAAATTGAGCAGTCCCGCCTTAATCCACACTGTAGTCACTGTGATAGCTGCGACACGTCACGGCAAAGTCGTTGGGTGTCGGCATCACGCTTACGCATTGTGGGGCGCATGAACAAAATCATTTGAAACAAAAATAGGCATATGACCATTTTGTTTTCCAGAAACACTTTTGTTTACTTTCTGTTCCCGAGCAAGAGAAAGTGCGTCTCCCTGCACAAGATCTTAGCATAGACAGTGTTACAACATTTTGTTATTGAATATTGAAGAACAGTGGGTACTACAAAAACAAAACAGACATCTGACAATTTTGTTCCAAACACTTTTGTTTCTCTTTTGTTACGGAGCGTGTGGAGGTGTGTCTCCTGGCACGAGCTCTTGGCATTGACAGTGCTACAATGACATTTTGTTACCCCCTATCTTTCTTTTTCTAGAGAGCACGTGCAGTGGGAACTACAAAACCCCCAAGTCAAGAGCGGGTTGTTAATGCAGTGGCAGAAGCTCGGTGGGAATGCCTCCGCTTCGCATGCAGTGAACCCAGGTTCGATTCTCGTAGGCAGTGAGCAATCTTTTTCAGGGATTTGGCAACATCAATGACGGATGCCCTACAATGCTGACTACGGGTGTATGAAGTCACCAGACTCAATCTAAAATGGGCCGTAAAAATCGGCACTTGCACACAGCAATTTCAACTTTTCGTCAAGGTGCATTTCGCAGGTCTGTTTAATCATGCAAAATTACAAAGTGTAGCTCCCTTTCTGTAAAAAAAATAGGGCCAAAAAACTTGCCAGGGTCAACGGAGGGTGGCAACGCAGACGACCAAGTCGAGTGGCAGGTCACGTTTGGCTCATGTATTGATAGACGGCGTCGGGAGCAGCGTCGGAAGGTGTAGCCAGCCAGTGAATGAAAGCAGACGACACGCAGACGAAATCCGCCGGCAGCATAAGCACCGTCGTTACGCAACCATATATTTTCTTTTACTTCAAGTTTTGCTACATTTCAAAAAGATTATGTTCACTTTAGTAGACCACGGTTGTTGCAAGTAGTCTCGATAAGGAGGTAGCGTCATTTATCAATATGTCTTCCAAACGCGTCCTGCCACTCGACTTGGTCGTCTGCGTCGTCACCCGCTGTTGACCCTGGCAAGTTTTTTTACAGAAAGATAACTATGTTATGTCATTTTACATGAAAAAACCGAACTGTGAAATACACCTTTGACAAAAAAGTTAAAATTGCTGTGTGCAGGCGCCGATTTTTACGGCCCATTTGAGATTGAGCCTGGTGACTTCAGACACCCTATATAACATCAACAACCACATACATCATCAACTACAACCATAGGCGTAGACTTCGGGGGGGGGCATCGGGGCTCGTGCACCAGGAGGGGGAGGCCTTCTTCCCCGGGCCCGGGCCATGGTCCTTACCGAGATGCTGTTTACGTGCCATGTAATGTGGCATGTAAACAAAATAACGCCCATGTTGCCTTTATTGACAAAATACATGGGAAATGAAATCTCAGCGTGCTTTTGTTAGCTTCAATCTCCAGTCCTGGCAAAAAGGTAACACGCAGCACCCCCCCCCCCCCCCCCCCCCCCCCCAAAGAACTGCTCAGCTTGCCCCCCCCACCCCTCGGGAAAATGGAAAGTCTACGCCGCTGACTACAACATCAACAATGAATGTCATTTGCAGTGATTCAGGAAGAGCCCATAACAGCCATCGCTGTAAAATAATAAGGTTATGTATTAATTTCTTGAGGTTATGCTCTACGAAACAAAAGGGCAGCAGTCATGAGCTTCTGACACGTGAACATCCAAACCACTGCACCGCATGCCCATTAAGAGGAAGGTAAACCCACTGGGAATGTCACTTCATATAGCATTTCAATTGCACCTGCAATGGGCATGCTATAATTCGTGCACTAGCCAAACCAAACAAAGGCCAACTGCCTGCAGATGTTAGGCTGAAAGCTGTAAATATCTCAGAAGCGCTCCAAATGCATATCATTTATAGGTCTTCTGTGGCATCACGCTGTCATCCGACGTCATGGTGTCACGTGACATTGCCGAGTCACGTGACCATCACGAGAGCGCCTAGTCAGGGCTTTGCATCAGAGCGTCGCATGATGTCAGTCTGATGCGATGACCGTCACGCCGACGACGTAACATGAACACCGTGAAATCATTAGCGTTCGCGTAATGACGTCACGGTGAACCTATTTTACGCCGACGATGCTACATAAACAGCGTGACGTCACCATCGAGGCTATGTGCCAGAGACAGGAAAACGCTAAAAGCTGGCACTATAAATGCTGGGCATTAAAAAAGTTAAAGGTGACAGTTTCTCAAAACTTTGAGCGGGCAACAAGCCGAGAAGGAGCCAATCAATAGAGCCGCGTCGTCAACGTACGTCTTTGTAGTTTCCCGTGAAGAGCTTGAGAGCGCTGTTCATGTTGGTGCCAGCCGCCTGCAGGTGACCGGCCTTGAGGAACACCGGCGTGACCAGGTACCTGGGACAAGCAAGGCGCCCGAGGTGACAACCGCTACCATCGAGCACTGCCATTTAGCGAAATGGGTTTACTTCTTTCAGATGTGACGGAATGAATCGCGCAGACAGAAAATGCGGGGCTACAAAAACACGGCTCCAAATAAGGGCAGCAGTCACGTTGCAAACACGTTGCAAGCTCTCCCCAAAGTGATGCGGGAACTTGTTGACGACTACAGGCCGGAGTTAAAAAGCCGACTGCACTCAAAGACTCAAAACAATTATTAGAATGGCGACCACGACTCATCCAAGCGAGCCACCGCACATACTAAGTGCAAACGAAGATGACAACGGATGCAACTGTGCATGCGGCGGGGATTTTCAAACTTCTTGAATTCTAGAAATGACGCTCTGTTTTGAATGATGGTGTGTGACTGACAAGAGCATGTTTGCTGGGATAAAAAAAGTTTGGGAACCCCTGGACTAGACGATGGAAGCCAGAGCCTCACATATTCATCCGCCTTTTCTACGTCAGCATCGCTCTGAGAGTTACTAAGTGGCGAATTTTGTTGCTGAGGCAACAGAGGAAGGACGAAGGCTCACCCCAGGGTGTCGTGCTGAATGTGCTTGATGTCGAGGAGCTCGGCGAGACGCTGGCACGCCGTGGCTGCCCCTGACAAGCGGGCCGGAAGCACATTAGAAACAGAAAGAGACGGGTGCGAGCTAATTTTGATGCCAAAATGGCAATTGGGAACGTGCTGTAAACATTGCCAGACGACGCACTGGTCAGACGGTAAGGTGGTGCTCTTTTGACAGGCGTCTCGGAGGAGTCCTTTGAGCCAGGCCTTGAAGGCTCCCCAAGAAACAACTTTAAACTGATATTTTCAAATGTCTTTGAATGGGGCTTCCTTGAAGCGACGTTAAACGTACTGCATGTAAACTCTCCCCAAAAGTTACAAAAGAAATAATTTTGAAATAAATGTTTGACCAGTAATGATCAAAAATGTCCCCAAAAAAGGATGACCTTGAAAGAGAACCTCCCAAAGGGGATTTCAAAGGCTTCTCGAAGGCAGCTCCGACAAAACCCGTCCTACAATGTGCAATTTTTGCCAAGTTCCCTTCCCTCTACTTCCTTTTTTGGCAAGACAAGGCAGTAGTGCCACACTGGATTACGTGCATGACCATGCACTAACCATTCCAAGGTTTCGCGTTCCTCCACCCCACTCGTTTCTGTGCACTGGACTCGATGGCCACCTGATAACGTTCAAGATTTCGTTCCGCTCTACAGTGGACCACAGTCAAAGCCATGGGCCAACAGTTCCAGTCAAGTGCAAACTAAAAACCACACAATTCGACGTGGATGTAAGATCGGCGCGCTGATATGCACGTCGAAGCAATACACCACATGGTTTCTAGCTCGTTAGCGACTGGACCTAGCAGCCCGTCGCTTTGACTGTAGTTTACCCTAAGGCGAGGCAAAGTATAGGCCATTCCACTAAGGGCTCTCTGGGCGGCGCCGTTTTGTTCAACTGCAGCGCCATCTATGTACATCTAAACATTTCAACGTAATCGTCGGGGTACAAGAGGGAAAGGGCACATGCCATTTTCACCGCTTGGGCAGTCCTGACGGACTGTACCACCGGAACTGCTCAGCCAGAAAGGCCCATTTCCATCCCTCCTCTCACCCTAGTAGAATAGTCTATAGGAAGCTAAGGCTCATGCATTTTGACAGATGAAAGGTACTGTAGCATGGCCCGTCCTAAGGCAGCTTCTGGAGGAAACTTGAGCGAGTGGCAGATAAGCAAAGTCTCCCACGTCCCTCAACTAGCGCCTGACGTTTGGCGCGGGGCCTGCAACGGCCGTCTACCCACCGATGCGCCCGTACACCTTGAGCAGGAGCAGCTTGAGCTGGAAGCAGGACGGGCTGTTGAGCAGGGCTCGCTCCAGGGCCGCCAGCAGCCACAGCAGCACGCGGTTGTCCCCTGCACGACGGGGGTGGCGCTTCGCTCAGAAACAAGGGCTTGTTGCAGATCAATCAACTTAGGCCTCTTAGGCGTGCATCTCTGCCTTCAAAATATGTCCTTGCAACCTGACCGACAGGAAGCGTTTCTTCCGAGGGTGCTATGCACGTTTTCATCTCAAGAGCCGCAATAAACAAAGTTTGGCTCCTTGTGGAGTGCTACCGATGAATTAAGGTGGACTCGTGTGTGCCCTTAAGAGGAAGTCTCTCAAATGGTTGCAAAACTGAGTTTGCAGCTCAGTCACTAATCTTTGGCAAAGGAGTGACCACAACACATGCATCGTGTGCCGTGTGGGTGTTTGGAGCCATTAAAATTTCAAGAATCGATGAAAACTCAAGGTACTGCCACTAATGCCCTAGTTAAACTATTCAGTCAAGCACACAATGAATGTGACTGCCACATGGTGAGTCAGTCGCTTTAGTTGTATTGCTACATTTTTGTATAAATGCCATCCATCGGAAGAGGAACCGCTAACATAACAATGTCCCTAACCTGATTCCTGCCACACGTCGAGAAGGATGCATCCTGCGAGGATTGCATAGTTGTCCGAAGGCTGGAAGTCTGTCGGGAGCAGGCCAATCCCTGTGGGAACCACAAAAACACGATTATGACCGGGTAATTACAATGAGAGCACTGACCCAATACTTTTTGTTAAATCTGAATTAATCAATCTTCTTTTAAAACCTTCTTTCAATATGTACCGAGTCTAAACCTTAAAAGTCGCTTAAAAAACATATTGACATCACATACCACATTCAGTTGATTTTAAGTATCCTAAGATTCCAAGAACTGGCCTCCTATTACAACTAAATATAGACTGCCAGCTTACTTACCACTGTTGAGATGGAGCCCATGTCGGGTGCGAGAGTTTTGTTGGAAAACATCCGCATCCAACGTGCGCTTACCAGGAATGTTGTAAGTCACCACTTGGCGCGACCCCCAATCGACTTGGCGGGCTGTTACTAATTAGAGGTTGCCAACGTGTTGGCAGGTTTTCCCGTTCTAACTCGTCCAGTAATTCCAGTACTGGCAGACGTCTCAAATAGAAAGGGGAAAGGAACGCCCTCCCGAACGCACCGAAGCGCAGTCCGTTCTGGTAGCTCTCAAAGAGGTCCCTGACCAGCTGCAGCCTCTGCTCCTTAGAGAGGGGGGCGTCTCTCCTGGTCAGGTAGTACCGCAACTGGCACCAGGTAAGGTGGCGCTGCATCGTGTTCACCTGCACCACATAGACCACGCCACACTAAGCGAAGGGGCGTCACCAATACCACGACGCGTTCTCGGACTAAAGGTCGGTTCACAGATAGGAGCAGCTCGTGATCGCAGCAATCTAGACACGACCAAGTGGGTTTCACCAGTTTTAAAGGAGCGGTGCCACGATTGGAGTACTTTGACCAATTAACTGTGGAAATCAGTCTACGTCACCCATAGAACAAAGGACAAAAAACCATATTTTCTTGCCTTTGCTAGATTTTATAAAACGAAACAGAACAAATTGAAGGCTGGAGTACACATCAACTTACACAGTCTTTCGAGCGAGGTGCGCAGTGACGACAATGGGAGTACCTAGTTTGGTTCTTGTCTGGCATGCCCAGCCCCTCTTCCGCGACTGTAGACTTTTCAAGGTTTGATTCGGCTACAATAGAGCGTCGCACCTGCTTGGCATCGTTAAAGGTGGCGGCGAACAATTGAGACAAATGGCAGTTCGCCATGGGAAAGACAGGGAGGACGGCGGTGGCGAGGAAATGGTTTTGTTCACTTCTGATAGATGGCACCACAGTTCCGATGACTGCCTCACACAACTGCAGCGAAATCTCAGTATTTCTGGGGAGGATGACGCGTATTCTCTCACTTGTGCCAAAATAGACAATATACAAAATACACAATACAAATTCCTTCAAAGCTAAAATTGCTGCGGCCTTTCAAACGATGGCCGATAACATAGAAAGCAAAGGTGCTGCTCTTCGACCGAAATGTTTAGCACACTCAATTATTATTCTAGGATACACTACGTCACTTGGTTGCTCGTACGCCAACACTCACGTCTGGAGGCACGTGCCAGGTGTCGGGTAGGGCCACCTTCAAGGAGTCTTCCATCTTGTCCAGCAACTGAGCAGCACAGAGCCAGAAAGAACAGATTGGTGACGAGGGAACACATAACACTGCTGGAAGACTGCTGAAGACAAACAACAACCTTCTCAAAAGAAAACTGCCCTTCCGTCGTAGGGAATTGAATTGTACACCCGCTCGGTTTTGGGTAAACTTCGTTACGTGCTTTTCTTCAAAACAAGTTTGAAACTGCAACTATACTTAGGGACAACTTTTCTTGGCGATGCAGTCAGAGGTCTAGGCACGTGTGATCTTTCCTCTTTCGAGCGCTTCGCTCCAATCAACATCATTCACCACGTGGAGATGCGGTAATTTTTTTAAAAAGATTTTTCAATCTATGCTGTTCTAAACTGATATATTTTAGAAATGAAATATTTTCATAAAAAAATGTCACACCTATCTTAGAGCGTGCACTGGTAACACTGACCAAATTTAGCCCTCACAACCTAGTCCAATCTCGCATAATCCGCGCTTTCTGTGTCGACTACTTTTGTGTTTTGGTTCCGCACTGGCAAGCACGTGTGATCGTGAGGAGCCATTGCCATATCACTTTCAAACATTTTTTTAAGGAGAGTACCTTCAACAGTCAAGCACGCCAGGTTGTTCTCAACATTTACTGCAAGCTTCGTATGAAGACTCCAACTGCACCCTACCACTACGTTGATTGATCGATCAGAGTGTTGCAGAGTTAACGGGACTATGCGATGATCTTCCGATGGAAAAGAAACTTGTTGATAAGATTGTTTTGACTGGTGCGCCGTCAGTACCTTCAACCGTACGCACCAAGCGAGGGAGGCCTCCGGCCACATTGAGTTTTCTCGACTCGTTTCACCACCTCCGGCAAATCCAGCACTGTTTCTTCCGGCGCAACGAGTGTTCCACGTCAAGTTCGGGCAGGAGCAACCCTGACAATCATCTGACACGTTGTGCGTTTCAGAAATGCCCAGACTGTTTAATTTGGATGCTATATAGACCAACCCCAGGCAAATTAACTTCGCTCGGGTCTTCATTTGTAATACCAATCGATACGAGCGATAGCACGTAGCTCGTCAAACACACGTGGTTCCTGGATCTCAAAGCCGAGCGCATTGCCAGCTACCTTCACTGCAAACTCGTTGCTTCCATCGATGACCCCACTGCGTTACAGCACAACAGTATGTCGCCGATGTTCCCGCCATACAATCGCGCAACTGTAGTAGGGTAAAACGCACCTGGAATACGCCTGAACCACTGTACCCGAACCTCGAATTTTTGATAAGCAGGAAACATTTTCTTTCTGCATTGATACACGCCTTGGAGCAATATGGCACGTGGTTTCTGCCTGGCTCATTATTGGACCTGGCGGCCCCTAGCTTCAACGCTTAGTCCATCTTATGATGCGACGGAGTATCGGTTCCCGCACTCTTTGGGGGCATTGCAATGAGCATGGTTGTTACCGGACTAATTAACCGGTGCAAGCAGCCTTGCAAGGTTCGTCCGAATTAAAACTAGATGAGATTTGCACCTGAAAAAAATCCATCTATAAGCTGAGTACTTTTCAAGCTCCCTAGCAGCCTTAGTTCACGAACGACCCTGAAGTCTTTTATATTTTTATTTTATTAATAAACTTTAAGATGCTAATCTACACTAAGACCTTGTGACAGAACGTAAGCCACAAACTTCAGCTCTACTTCGTTTCACATTACACATTTTATTTATTTCAACACGTTATACCTACATTCCATTACGTTGTGCCACATTACAGAAAATTGTCGTTTATGGGAACAGAAATAGAGAGATGACGATGGTGATCGACCGCAGCGGACGCTAAAACCGTCGGAGTAAACCCAGTGACATGAGCATATCAAGTAACTTCCAGAGCGGTGCAGCGATGCGTTAGGCTTTGAAGTCACATGATACGCTCACAACACTGGACTGGCAGGATGGCTCGTAGTGCCCGTTGGAAAGCATCGTGAGGTGAAACGAAATATATAGTAATCATGAAAGATTTAACAAACTGCTACATTGCTCCATGGCAATGTGAACAAAACATAAAAAAACACTAAGAAGTTTATGCACCTCTGCGCGAACCTTTGCAAGACGCCCCTTGAGCTTCCAATTTTTGTCCACTGTCCCTGCCGCTGAGTGAAGTGTTTTTCTAGTCTAAGCACTGTCTTAGCAGATCTAAGCCACTCATAGATGCACAACCATGAGCCACTCTCTAGCATCTGCATTCTTGTTAGCAAGCTCCGTAGGCTCCTCAACTGCATCACTGCATCCCTACCGAAACCGGGACAGGTTCCTCGGCTGCCCGTCGATTCCCTCAAAGTGTATAGACGCTTTGTGGCAGCTGTCCATGTTCATGACCACAGCAGTCCAGTTATTGCCATCTTAGATTCTACTCTGTCGTTCTTCCCAGCATTGGCCTTTGTGTAAGCTCATCAATGCCCACTTCACTGGCTCGACCTCCGGTAAGACGAGAGAAGGTCAGCAATGATGGCTGTAATCTGGCGCGTGTGCAAGGAGTCTATACAATTATTCTAGCGGGTGTGGTAAGATGGCGACGTTTTTGACTCACCCTAACAACGTCCTCTTCTGGAAATGTGAACGAGGAAAGAAGGTGCGAGATGTCCAGCACGCACGACGCCTTGTGGCCCGTCCGTTCGAAGAACTCCATCAGAAGGTTCACTGGAAATAAGGCGATGCAAAAGCATCATCGCGAGGCTTTGTAACGCGTTTCTTGAAATTCCACTAGGGGCGTGCGAATTGTGGTTTGAATCAAATAGCACCGAGTCATTCGTAGAATCGAGACTGCAAGGAAAAGCCACAGGGAAGGGTTCTTTTACCGGAGCAGAAACTAGGGATGACACAGTGCTATACGATTTGAACAAGCATTCCCACATTCCTATAGATTTTTCCATTGATCACCCGGGCGAAAAATGCTAAGTCACTGAGCTGTGGAAACATGCCTGTGGACGCATGTGCAGCATCTGATATGCTGCACAACAGAGCAACAACGCATGCTCAGAAGGCAATCCACAGCCCTGCAGACAAGGATGGCAGCGCGCACAAGGCGATTTTTGCAAAGGTCTATATCTTACTGATAAGAAAATGAATGTTGCTGCAAAGCTCATGGTCATGAGGTGCCCTCCTAAACGGTGGCATTGCCCACATAATAAGTGCTCAAAAAGTGGCCCCGTACAGCACTGCTTACAAATTTGTGCTAGTTTGGGCTATGGACGATCTGACAATACGGCAATACGCGGTTGTTGCTCTCATGCATCAAAGATTAAGTAATGGAAAAACAAATTTCTAGCTTTAAAGAAAAGAATTAGCAAGGTGAGATTCACCATTAATACCATTGCCACGCAGCAAAATTTATTGTCATGTTTATCAAATGACATTTAAGATTTCGGCAAATTAGCTTGCAATCCAAACTGCAAGCGTCATGCATCACGCATGCACCGCACCGGGAGTGTCGCACGCCGATCGGCTGACAACATAATGTCGTTCGATGGATTAAATTTTACCGTGCGGCATGGTATAAAATACCGTTTTGATGAAAGTTTGGGATTACTCCGAGCAGGCGCAGGTTCTTCTGGCCAATTTGAGAGCGAGCTGCAGAACTGAAAACATCCTATGCTTCACTATTGTAGAGTTAATATAATAACCAAGAAGGAAAAATCCCACGCATTTCAGCTGCTTCAGAACGGCGGGGCACAGACGCGGACATTGGTGGTCCCAAAAGAATCACATTGCTGGCGACGCTTCGATGTACACAAAGAAGCGGGAAAACATCACTCGCAAGGTATGTACCTAGTCTTTTTAGCTTAGTTTTGCACGAAAACACCGGCGTCGCGCATCGTATGAAGTTGACTAGCACTCAAACTTATTCAACTCGTCGCGACAAAACGAACGCGCCTAGCACATTGTCTGCTTTCTTTCTCCGCTCTTCCTCGTATTTTCTCTTGGGGCCAACGACGCCAGAGCCCAGGATGTACTGCACTCTACTCCCGCCTCTTCGCCACAAAGAGGACCCACTCCGTGCCATGTGGGAGGGCGTACCGAGCAGGTCGCGGCTGGTGCCGGCCCCCTCCCGGGCCAGTACCGAGATGCGTGCCATGAAGGGGCCCCTGAGCACCGAGCTGCCCGGCCGGGAGGTCCAAGCCCCCGTCAGGGACTCCACAAAGTCCAGGGCCAGCTCAAACGTGTGGTCCGGACGGGGCCTCAGCTCCGCCTCCTTTTCGCTGCAAGGGAAGGCCCGACCACTTTCAACGTGGGACGCGTCAGTACGGCGCCTGGAGTGCATCTCCGACCGGTGTGTTTGGCGTCGTATTCCGTCCGTGCACCGAAAGTGGTACCGAAATGGCAACAAATGACGTCACAAAAGCCGAAGTGTCATGCTGTCAGATGTTACAATCCTGGCAGTTAGGTATAAAGTTCCGGGAAAAAAACATGAGAGAATGTGAGTGTCGCATTGTTGCGGCGTCCCAACTCCCGGCTGCCCAAGATTCCGTGGACTACTAAGCTGGAGTCTGACACGTAGCAGAACAGCTGTCTGCTACATCCAACACCGCTAGGATCGTGGCAGACGACGGCGTGACACTTTTGTGATGTTTTCGGGTGGAAATCGAGAGATCATTTTTTTTTAACGCAGTAAACACCAGTCGGACATGCGTTCCACGCACTCTAGAGTCAGGCTCGCGACACAACTTTCCGTCGACCGTCTTCTCTCACTTTCAAACAAAATACGACGGCGGCGGAAGCTGGTGGAGGCGACTTTGAAATAAACCAACGTCTCGCTAATTGGCTTCTCCAAGGCTAAACAAAGACCCTCGGCAAAATGTCGGCTGCCAGTCTGGGGCTTCCTTTTCAAAATAGCAGCAACGGTGCAAAAAATTCTTTTTACGGCGACTGCTGTTGCGGGCTCTTCCCACCACTGAAAATGACATCCGTTGTTGATGCTGTAGTGGTTTTTGTTGTAATTGGCGATGTACGGCGTCCGTCGTCTAACATCTAAGTTGCAAAATCCTTGAACGAGATAGCCCGCTGCCCCTGGGAATCGAGCCTGGGTCCACTGCACGCGAAACAGAGACATTATTACTGAGCTATGCCAGAGCATTAATAACCCGCTCTAAACTTAGGGCTTTCGTAGTACCCAATGCCCGCTGCGTGCACTCTCTGGATAAAGAATGGCCTATACACAAACTCAGCTCTGTTATGTCACGGCGTGGTAATGGCGAGTGGGGCGCACTCCCGGTCTGGAGCTGCAGGCGGAAGTCACCGTGTGGGACGTGCGTTCTAGTGTTGTTTTGGAGGAAAGCAGACAAAAACCTGCCTTCTCGTCAACACACCGCGATTGGAGCTGTACCAAAAGGGTCGGGAAAGCTTGAAGGTCAGCTTTTATGCGTTTTTATGCGTTTTTTGACTGCTCGGTTCGTCCGACAGCGTGGATAGGGGCCGTGAAAAAAAGAAAAACCAGACTTTGTCGGACCGCGATTGCTTATGCGGAAAGCACTTTGGGTTGAATTTCTGGATACTTGTGGTCGTCAGATTTATTTGGTTTGTTCCAACATGAATACAGGAAAACCGCCAAGCTATGCGGACCACCTGTGGACTATGTTCAGTGCGTCTTCAAGTTCGAACGGCCATCTGCTCTTTTAAATGTTTGTGCATGTTGTCATCTGCTCGTTCAAATGACAGCGGTCCTCAGACCAATTGACCCGGTAATTGCGGTAAGAAGTGCATGCCTCAGAAGACTTTTAAGTTTGAAGGTTGGTTGGAATAAGTAGGTTCGGTGTAAACAGTAGATGCAAGATGCTGATAATTGTTACCGGTGGCCATCATGGACTTGTTCTGTCCGATTCATTTGGTCCGATCGTGCTTGCGATTTTCACTATCGACGTCGGCAATTTCAGCTACTCATGTCTGTAAACATGCTTTTGCAGTACGAGTGACGTCATGACTGAAAATAGCAAGCAGAATCTCATTGTGCTAATTAGGCTTTAGCGTTCATTCTGCGCTGCCCAGGCACAATGAATCGCAGCATGTCACATTATTCACGGGAAGTTTTGCAGGGTACCGAGCCTCGTTAATTTCGCTGAGGTTGCTAAAGTAGTCAGACATTGCCAGGAAGATGTAGAATCAACAATTCCAATGCGAAAAAGAGCTCGGGGACTCACAGTGACGCCGACCACATTGCATTCCAATGGTTTGTTTGTGGGCGACAGTGAGCTTCTTGTTCACACTCCATCGCGCATGCACGGCGTCGGTGGCGTCCGCTAGGGGCGCTCTGGTTTGTTTGTAAACATGAGTTTGTTTATAACAAAATGCTGTCGTAGCACTGTCAATGCCAAGAGCTCGTGCCAGAAAACACTTTCACGCACTTTTGAAAAAAAACAAAAAACGTTAGGAACAAAATGGAACAAAACAAGTGTTTGGAATAAAAAAGATGTCTATTTTGTTCCGAGCGCTCTTGCTTACGCACCCCATGGTGTGTGAACGCAATGCCGATGCCCAACCACATGCACAGCGATGTCGCAGCTATCACTGTGACTATACAGTGAATTAACGCAGGACTGCTAAATTTTTTGCACGTGTTGCTGCTATTATGAATAATCAATTAGCCCAAGCTTCCATCTTAACAACCTTCCTTCTCAAGTCTTCGCTTTTAGTATGGTGCCTGGATCGCGCCTCCGACCGGTGTGTTCACCGCGTCCAAAAAGTGGTTCCTCGCTTTCCGCCAAGTGTCACGCTGTCGCTGGCCGCAACCCTGGCGGTGTCTCAGCAGTGGTACTGGTTAGGGTTGTGCGAATATTCGAAATTTATAATAGTAGTTCCGAATAATACACTATTCGATATTCGCTTCGAAAAGAACTGCACTATTCACGTTTTTCGAAGTGTTGATTGCGGCGGGTTAGCCCCGTTGAGTGCGCTTCTTACCAAGCACCGGTGCGCTGCGGAGGAGCCAAACCCGTAAAAGTGAGCTCTTCGGGTGTTGCTTTTCTGCATTACATCGGTGCTCGGTGAGAAGCGCACTTAACGGGGTAACCCACCGCGATAACCAATATCGTAATTGTAAATGCACCCGAGTGCCGACTATGTTTGAAAATAAATGGAAACTTTGTGAATGTGTATATCTACATTGTAGTAAAAGTTTCAAAATTAAACTTTTATGCAAGAGTATACTATGTTAGGCAGAGACGCTTTCACAACCTGTGTTCATCATGTGCGATTCATTCTTTTTTAACTCGAGATTAAAGAAAGACTATTTTATATAGCAAGATTTGTAAATTCACTCAGTTGGTATAGTTGGCCATCTCTATAGGATTCATTTTATGTCAAATCCGTCATTTACTTGTCATCCCAAGACATCAGACCTTCTGAGGTCACAGTTCATAAATATAGATAGATTAAACTTAGCTTATAAATGAACAAGTGGAATAACCTTCACAGGTTTAGCTGGGTTTTCGTCTAAGCATTTGCTATGGTAGTGAATGGCGTGGAAAAACTATTCGATATTCGAATCGAAAATATTCGGCCAAACCCACTATTCGCTTCGAATTCGCTTTGAACTCAAAATCCACTATTCGCACAAGACTAGTACTGGTAGTGGAAGACGCCTGTTCTGCTGCAGGTCGCTCTCCAGTGTGGCGGTCCGCGGAAGCTTCAACGGCCAGAAGTTGAAACGCCGTGATGACAGCGACGCTTGCGTTTGTTCGTACTTCTACCCAGCATTTCTATGACCAAGCGCCTGGATCGCAACATCGGACAGTATCACATTCCGGCTTTTGCGACGTCATTTGCTGCCACTTCGAGACCACTTTGGATGTACGGCCGAGGTAGGAGGCTAAACACACTATTGTGGGAGAAGCGCTCTGGGCGCCATACTTCTAGCGATGCATGGAAAAGGGTCAGTTAGCACCCACGCTCACGGACGGGACAAGAATGACGAGGTGTCTCTTTCGAACGTCCAGCCTCCGGCGCGCACCTGTTGCCTTGCGCAGCGCTCTGGTTGCGCATGCACACTCGATGCTCGTGAGACGCCGCGGCATTACCGAAGCTAGTAAGGTCGCGCTGGAGGCAACTGAAGCTCCTCCCTGCCGTTCTCATCTTGTCAGTGACCATAGAGTAGTAGGAAATCCGACCCAAAAATAAAAAGAACCGTAAAAAAGGCAAGGACAAAGTAGACAGGGGACAGTACTGTGCCTGCACAGTTCTTGCACTCCGACCTCATGTTTTCCAACTTGTTTTTTACACCATAAATCTCTCGACTTCCAAGTAATTTCCTTTTATTTGGACTTGGCAAAGCACTGCCTCTCCGTCCGAGAAAAACAGATTCCCACTGTTCCCTTCCCGTTGAGGCACAGCGATAAACTCACCTCTGCGTTTCTGGAGTCCATCCTGATGCTTGCAACTTCTCCACGCTGTCCAGGTAGAGCTGGTAGAAGAGCCAGTGGTCGGGGCTGCAACACAGAACCGTCTTGAGAGAGAGATAAATTTGTTCTTGACCGAGAAACCGTTTCTTTTTCCGGATAACGCACCAGTGGCGGGAACTGCGCCACGAAATGGACCTAGCTATGAGCATGTTGCACAGAACAAGCTAGATTTTTTGTTTCGAGCATCCAACGGGCACCGTCCCCACAACAAATCTGGTACAAGCAAAGGACCACCGAATCTCTGGTAAAGGGCACGAAATCTGATTTCCAAACTAAGAACTTCCACATCTTAAGAACTTGAGACTTGGAAACAAGGGTTTTGAAGACATCAAAAGTTCATTACCTCGCCTGTACATTCTCAGTAGTTATACTCGGAGCCAAACTAAGGCTGACTTTTCATCTAATCGCCACCCGTTTTCTGCATTACCGGTTACTGAATATAGTAAACGACTGAGCACGGCAATCAACTTTATGACAGATGTGTAGCATAAGCTATACGCTTCTGCCTGGCTCCAGATGAGTTGGTAGTGTACAGAGATATATGTAGGAGTCAAAGTCTAAGAACCTACACCATTCACAACTTAATGGAGTCTACAAACAAGTACTCCTGTAATACCAGGGCAAAAATCCATACAACGGGTAATACGACAACGGACACCAAACAACGATGTCTCCTGCATGTAGCCGGGGAATGTATGAATGTTTTTTCAACCGGGCACTCAATTGAAACGCCCAAAGCTGGACGGCAGAGTCGGGGAGAGGGGTCTCACTTGTCAAGCAGGAGCGACTTGCAGATCGAGTTGACCTGTGGCCAGCGCTGCAGTTTGGAGAGCAGCTCCACCTTGTGTTGAGGCACAAAGTCCAGGTATGAGGTCAGGATCTCTGAGAGAGGAGAAAGCCACGTCAATGCATCACCTCCACCCGTCATTAGGGTATCCAATTCGTCACGTACGAATGACGAAGAAGTTGTTTTTGCAAGGGGCTCACCCCAACAGCAAAACTGTGTGAAAGTCCTCAGGCACAACTGTCACTTGGACTAAAATAAGATAGGAAACTCATTTATAAATTGAATGCCCAGGAGAAAGAAAAGACGGGCCCGTCCCTCAAAATATTTATAACAAGGTAGTCAGCAAAATAAATGCTAGTAGGAGACGGCCCTACTGAAAATACTGAGCATCTGCGTGAATGCAGGTTGGGCTTGATTTAACTTGCTAGTCCTACTATGTTTTGCAAGCATCAAGTTGTGAATGACATTCACCTAAGCTACCCACCCCTAGACATGCTTCTCGAACAAATTACAGCTTAACATGTGTGAAACATCCGACTTTTACACCTGTTTCTTCCGGGACGCTGAATGGTGCTGAAGGATGACATGATAGCTGGCACTAGTAGAGATAGTGGTTCACGGTTTCCAAACTGTTTTGTGAATGCAGTAACAAATAAGCAAATATATACGTGGTCCTACCTCCGAGGGGTCCCTCCAGCACGTCCAGTGCCTCCTGGTACTTTTCTTGCATCTCTAGCACCATCAGGTACAGCTGCACCTCTGTGGAAGATTCAAGCAAGAGTTGAAGATGAACAGTAAAAATCACTTCAGGTTATGATAAAAACTTTATGTACATGCTTAGAAAACTAGTGTGCTGGCTGACGTTTAACCCCGAAACATAAACTAGCAAGAAGAGACAAAATGAAATGGGTCGCTTAGTCGCAGCAAGTTAGGGGGTCGAGGACACGTCAAGCTGCTCTATAGCAGCTTTTTTACTCGGTCTCCCGCATCTTTGATGGAAATAAAGGCAATTATTATTATTATTAAGTTATTTTGGCCGTCGTAGTGTACTTGGTGCACACATTCTTATTATCTTAAGCTGTAACCTCCAGTGTATCTTAAAGGACACATGCAAAGGAAAAAAACATTTTTTTTAGACAGCTTAGATGGAAAAAGGATGTCATAAAACAATTTTACAACGAAAAAAAAAAAATTTTTAGAGCTATATTTACGGCGCTATACGAATTTGTAGTTGGCGCTCGCGGGAGCCGCCGCTGGTCACGTGGTAGGCCCGCGCGCCGCCGCACGCTGAGCGTTGTGCGAACGTCGCTTCAACGCGTTTCTCCACGCTGCCGTCGCCGCCGCCGCACAAGTTTGTCTGCTTCGGGGCGCCGCCGCCGTTGTCTGACCGGCGCACAGGTCTATCACGTCTGCTTGCGCTTTTTCGGGAGTTTCCTTTGGGCTGTAAAAGTTACTTATTCATCTTAGTTTTTTGTTATACTTCAAACAAAGATGAATAAGTTACTTTTAGAGGCCATAGGAAGCTTCCGAAAGAACGCAAGCACCACGTGATAAATAAAGACCAGTCATGTGATAGATACGGACCACCTTTCCGCGGTGCCCGCGGGCGCCAACTACAAATTCGTTTTGCGCCGTAAATATAGCTCTAAAAACCTTTTTTTCTTCGTTGCAAAATCGTTTTCTGGCGTCCTTTTTCCATCTAAGCCGCTTAAAAAAAATGTTTTTTTCCTTTGCATGTGTCCTTTAAGCTGTAACCTCCAGTGTCCCGACTTCTCAAATGGTCATTCTCCAGACAGTCCAGTAAAGGGACAGCGACAGGGTATTCGTGCTTACCAACATTTCTAGTGAGACAACCTATGAGTGCTCAGCTACTGATAAAAAAAAATTTCTGGCTTACAAGTTGGTTTTCTTTTTCTTTTTTTTCACGAAAGCCATTTGTCAAGAATAGGCCATTCAAGGCAGCTCTCTCCTTCTTTTTTCAGGATTATGTGCGGTGACGACACAGTAGGTGAAATGCAATAATACCTTGTTAACTCAAACACGGCTATCTCGAAATAGTGGTTAAGTCGTAAAATGTCCTTGTCATGGAATGAGCTCCCACAGGCACAACGCATTTTGTCCTTGCTTATCCCGAAAGGTTTTCAGGACCGACTTCAGAATCGCAAAAAAACCACAATAAACTTCGGCAGCCAGGAGCTGGGACGCCGCGACGACAGCAACACGCGCATTCTCACGTTAATTTTTTCAGAACGTTTGTGCCAGTGGTTCTCACACGGGGCTCCGGGGACCCTTTGGGGTCCCTGAAAGCCTTCTTAGGGTCCCTTAAAGCCTCAACTGTCAATCAAACCAAGCAATAATTTTTTTTTAAATTCTTTAAAAATTGATTATGGTTGTTTTACAACACTAAATAGACCAAACCATGTGTGCCAAGTGAGTAGGATCGATTATTCTCCCTTTCAGAAGTTTAAATTTAGTTTGCAGGCACTTGGATATCTTCATTTACCCTCTTGTAACAGTAATCGTCCAATTACCTTCCTTCCCCACCCCACCCGCTCGGCGGATTGGGTCCCCCGTCGCTTCCGTCAATCCAAAAGGCGTCCCCAAAACATCGGTGGACCACCACTTTACGTCCAACCGGCAGGGTTGTGACGTACGACAGCGTGACCCTCTGACCAAGGTGACGTCGTTCGTTGGTGTTCGGGAACAACTTTGGATGCGCGGGCGGAATGAGACTTTGAACGTGGTGGTCGGAGCCGCGTCGCACACACAGGTAACCGAGGGTACGCGAACACCCACCGGCCTCGGCCTCGAGGCGTCCCTCCTTGACGAACTTGTCGACCATGCGTTGCGCGAGGAGCAGCAGTGTGGACCGCTCCACTGCTGAGGTGTCCGGCTGGCCGGCCTCCACCACGAGGCTCATGACGGCCCAGAAGTAGTAGGGGTTCTTGTGGCGCAGCCGGTGCAGGGCCAGGGCCGCGTGGCGCTGCTGCTTGGCCTGCCCCAGTCGTACGTAGCCCATAAACAGGTGCGTCAGCAGCTCCTCGTTCTGGGGCTCCTTCTGCGAGGCGCGCTCGTACGCCTCCACGATCAGCTCCGCTGCGAGGGGGGAGGAGGAAGCGAAGCGGCTCTCTTATCTGCTCAGGAGGCAAAATCTGTAGCTGACTATATTTCATTTTATTGTAACTTGGCAAAGAGCTAATGCTACGGTTCTTTCGAGTGAACGAGAGTGACGGCAGCAAAGCATGTGAAGCCTATCGCTCAAAGTTCAAACAAAAGCGGCTTTCCCCTTTCTCCCGCCTGCGACTTCGACGGCGCTGCGCGCATCTAGCAGGGTAGAGTCTAGTTGGGTGTTGCCCTCCGACGTGCTGATTGGCTCGCCAGGACTGTAGTAGCCTTTGCCGTTCGCCCAGTTACGGCGAAACGAAGTATAGAGGGGTGCAGATATTTTAAACTTCATATACTACGCAAATATTATTGGCTAATCGATTAGAATCGGAGCACACTTTTGTTGTGCAAAGTACTTGAGTTGTCCAAATATTTAAAAAAGAGGAACAATGTCTTAAAAATTTTTCACTTTGTACCGTCGAGCTTCACTGCCTTACACCAGCGTGTCAGGAGAAACGGCTGACGTGTCAGGAAATTTCGTTCGCTATCGTAGGTGAGCCTTCTTGGGTTATGATTATAGTTTTACCCCTGATTTCAAACGACATTGATAGAAAAGAAAATCTCGGATTACATTTAAATAAAAAGGGTGGTCATTGCTTTACTTTCCGTATTACATTATGTTTTACCCAACTCATTGAAACTTTCTTTTTTTCAATAAGAGCGTGTGAAACGTTTCTTATGTAATAAAGCTCTTCCTTCTAATATGTATGCTTTCTAAAAAAGCCTGTCAGCCATGGCTTCTTAAAGTATCTATGTTAAATTAACATTAATTTAAAATGTTTTATTTGAGAATATTTCAATTCAATTAACAGACAGATTAAAATATTCTTATTCGATTTGCAGTCACAAATTTGATATCTGCACAGCCATATTTTTAACATAAGTAGTGCTCTGTGTTTGGGCAAAACCCAATCTTGCCAGGAATTGGTATCCTGAACCAACTGCATCAAGAAAGGGATAAACCCAATTTTGTCGGTCATGAAACATTACAATCTGCCAAGGCTGGTTATGGAACCAGCATTTAAAAGGAAGGTAGGAAACAAACTCTATAACTTGTAGATAGGCATTTATGAAAGCCTAACTACAGCTAAAAACACAGGTCAATAGTACCTTAGATCTGAAATAAATCCCGACCCCTGCCCGTTTCGATCTGGATGAGCATCGTACCGGCGTGAGATCATGTATGCCTACTGCGTGGTGCACGTTAAAGACCCAGGCTAGCGGTTGTACGCACTGGCTAAATTGCTCATCTACAGCTGAGAGACAAGTCGCCCGTTGAGGCAGACTAGGTTCAGGCTGTATAAACAAACACAAAACCTAATTTTTTTTTTAGATCTGAAATACTGCACTTTATTGTAAAAATCATGTCTGCACACAATTAAATACAGCATAAATGTGAGTAGTCATTCAGAATCTTGAAAATAAAAAGAAATAGACCTCTTTTTTGGATTAGCCCTTTAACTTTATAGAAACTAAAAAAAACGATACCACCACCTCTAAAGAATAGTTTTCTCCTGACTGCCACCATTTATGCTTGTGACACAGAGGGCGTAGGTAAAAATGATTCACTCCCTTTATATGAACGGCGAAAGAGCATTTGAATTAAAAGTGTCATTGCCACCCGTCTTATCTTGGCCCCTGCCATTCTTTTTCATTATCATTACACTCAAATTCTAATTTTGATCACCCATTCCTATTACATGCCCGAGGCTTTACTTTTAAGGTCTCCCTCCATCAGTTAACTAGAAGACAAGTACATAAAGACATGACTGCAGGAGCTGCCGCGTGATTGCTTGGACACGTCAACCCTCTGCAATGTGGCACACTCACTAGTATGCCACATAGTATGTCACATAGCCCAGTGCTTGTTTGCACAGGTACAAGCAATGCCCAGAAAACACGAGAAAGGTCTATGAACTGTCCCAGAAACAACTGTACGCACTTGTGTAAAGCAACACACAAGACAAAGAGTTGAAAGACGTTAGAGGTGCAAGGAGGGGAACTCACGTCTTTCAAGCTCTCGGTAGCAGAGTGTCATGGCCTGGAGCGTCGGATCGTCTGTTACTGCCTCCTGCTGAAGCTCCTTGAGCGTGGCATACGCTTCATCCATCCTGGTCAGTCTCACAAGCGCAAGGGCCTTGAGGGCCTGCGGGATTACAACTCGGAGTTTGATATCACCAAAAACAATTCGACATACCAACTAGAGAAATGTCAGCTCCCATTCTGATGCTCCCTATGCGGTTTCTTTGCAAGCAATCCAAAACAGATGGACGCTAGAAATCTTGTGAGTAACAACGAAAAACCCATATGCAATTATTACTGACATATCTTGGGCTAGTTTTTCATGTTTGGGCAAACGTAAGCAGAATGATTTTTGTTTCTAAGCTGCCAGCTCAAAATTTTATGAAGATAAAGTGACTTAGACTTGACTGTATCAAATATGCATGTGACACTTTCTTTTCTGTGAGCTCAATAAACGCAGCTACATATTCACTGAATCAAACAAATGTGTTACGTGCACACACATGGATTAAGCTATTGGTTTAATGAGTTATAGAGTTAATATAAAAATAAGGCAATCTTTGTTCTCGTACTACCCCAATGCATCTAGACTTTCAGATCTCAGAAACACTTCCACCTTTAAAGGGGTACTCAACAGGTTTTTTCAGTGTCTCCGATTTGTTTGAAATTTTGCTAAGCTCACCAACAAACATTGTTAAAGTGGTATCACAAACATTAGGTCAAAATATTGTTTTTTCGCAAAGTTATTGAATTTACAGTTTTGGTCCTCACCGTGTTTTTCAAACTGAAAGTCTCTAGTGGCAACAACGACAAAGTGACATCAGTGGAAGGCAGAGGTTCACTCTTTGGACTGTAGAATTTGTTCCCAACTGGTTCGAAACAGTTTCATGGTGTCAAATGAATGCTTTGGAAGCTCGCTCCAGTATCTGCGCTCCAGCACGGAACAAAGGATTGGCACATGCTATTTTTTAGACTGCTTGCTCGACTAGCAAGCCTGCCTGCCACTGACGTCACGGCACTGAAAAGTGTGGGTATATTTAAATGTTGGTTTTTGCATCATTTTCATTTGCCGATTTCACAATAACTAAGATGAATTTCGGGATACTGAATAACATACTGGAAAGGGTAAAGGCCGAGGAGTCAGAAAATATAGTTAGTTGAGGTAGCTCAAAAAACCTATGGAGTACCCCTTTAATGCTCTTCAGAGGCCAGCTTTATCAAATTGTGTTTGCTGCTTGTACTTTTGCCACAGATTGATAAAACCTGCATTTGCCACTGATGCGAAAAGTGCAATTTAAGCCATGTAAACATTCCACATTAGAATTACAAAAGCTTGAGACTAAAAAAATGTTCTTCCTACTGATGGTAATGGACATTTTGCCCTATCCAGCATCCATAAACCATGCATAAATGACTTTAAAATAACAAACAATAATTAAAATGTAACCCACAACATCTATTTTTACCGTCCCATGTGACACCAATTTCCCCTTAATCTCCCATGCATCAGGGACCTATTTAGTGCTTCTTAATAAGAAATATCATTTCTTCTTCATTATATGTGCTCCACAACCTGTATTGCAGTTGCAATAAAAAAGATAGCTAAACAGATCATACAATGTTGAAAATATGCACACCACTAAAAGGCATGAGACAATCAAGAAAATACTCGGGGATGACTGCCTGCGAACGTTAAATTTATGTAACTTTATATTCTCCAAACGTTTCTGAAGTTGTTGAAAATCGGATGCCGTGCGCTAGCTATTTTACGGCAGACTTTTTCAAGAGTTGAACAAGCTTGTATTTGAGGTGGTATGCAGCTGAGCATTTTCATCTCATTCCGTGGTATATATAAACCTTCTGTAGTGAATCCTTTGCATGGAACTGCACATGCTAGCACGGTGTCAGTGAAATGCGTAAGTTGTCAAGCAAAAGACATATAGAATGAATGTTTAATAACACACTTATTCTAAGGCCACAGTCAAAGTAACACGAATGCAGAATAACCTCAACAATAACCCTAAAAGGGGACCCCAGAACTGAAATAATGAATGTGGCGAACACCTGCGCAAAGCAAGACAAACCACGTCGAAACGACGAAATCTCAGAGATACCGAGAAGCTGGCTTCTTGCAATCGAGCAAGCAAGCAAGACACAAAATATCACCGCATGCTAATCGGTGCACTAAGTATCGTTCTGCCATCAGAATGAAGCAGGAAACAACTCCAAGAACACAACATCATTTTAAACCAAATAAAAAAGCATAAAAAAAAATGACCCAGGGGATAAAAAAACTCAAATAGGAAACATATATTTTTTTCTATTCTTAGGCACTTTTAAAGAGCGATAAATTTTTCCGCGCTCATAAAGCAAATGAAGGTAAAAATCTAAATGACTACAGGTGCCGGCGCGCGGTCTGCGTTAGAGCACCGGCAGCAAACTTCGCAGGAGATTTTTCGCTTCCAATTTCTTTGTTTGTTTTCCGCTTACCTTGGCGCAGGAAAAATCCTTTTGTTTCTTGAGCAGCTTCTCCGCCTCCTGCAGCGCTTTCTTGTGGTTCCCATTGTCTAAATAGTCTGGAAGAGCGGAGAAACGCTGGACACACGATGCATTCTTTCCAATTCTAGTCGCACAACAAATCGTATTTTCTAGGTTAACCCCTCAATTTCTGGCGGGACCTGACAGGTTATAGCGTAAGGAACAAACCGGGGCGACAGGTAGCCTCGTTGAAAGCACGCTAACTTCGAAATAAATCGGTTATCAAGGGGATGTCCGGCGAGCGGCGTCCACCCTGGGCGATCGTGCTCATGTGCACGACGCGGCGACCGCGTTCAGACGAGGTGACCGTCGACGGAAGGGGAGCGGTATTGGTTACATTGGGTTATCTGACTTCTTAAGTTTCTTGGGTGAAAATCTGGGGCGTTCACGTACCGTAGACGGGTCGCAATCGCCTCTCGTTGATGCTCGAGTCTGCGTGCGAACGTGCGACCACCATGCTCGCCATGTTGCGAAGGCGGTGCACATTGTTTCCCGATGACAGTCGGCAGACTCGCCATATTTGGCGAAACTTCTGCTTCCAATGTAAAAAACAAAACGAAAACAAATACGCAGTCTAGTCGGTGATCGCAGTCATAAAAACTTCAATGTACTGTCCGTTTTTTTTTTTTTTTATCTTTAAGGGTGATGTCAGTGCAAGTCTTTTTATTTATTTATTTTTTTTTTTTGTGGGGAGGCGGATTTTTAAAATTTATGCGCAAGTTCGTCTGCTTCTTGAAGAGGGGTTGCGATGGCGCACTTATTGGCTGATAGAACAAAAAAAAAATAGTTGGTAGACCTTGAAGCGTCTAGAATTGGGATCTACCCACTATCCTTTCATTCAAAGCAAATCAGAGCTCGGCGTCGAAATTCTGACGTCACTGCAACTCCTGCGCAATAAGTAGCAGACGAGCACTTGAATATGCACATGAACGATGTCAGGTTAGGTTAGATGTAGCATTGTGCTTAGAAGTGTTTATTTCAAGAGCCCAGATGAACAGGAACTACCCCTGACAGCACCCGACATCCACAGGACGTCCTCAAAAGGTACAAACGTCCTCACGGTTTTAAAGACGTCCTCAGGACATCCTGAGAACGTCAGTCGCTGGATCATCCTAGAAACATCCTTCTGAGGTCTTATTGAGGACGAAGGATACAAAGCAGACGTAATATATCCGTCCTCAGTTTGATTGCGTTAAAAAAAAAATGAATGAAATGCTAAACTAAATTTCACAAACAAATTATTACATGTAGTTATGTAAGTTTAGGATACCTTTTAACGATAGCTTTGATGAAACAATTCCTTTAATAAAGCCAGGACGCACTACAATTATTGTTAGTTTTGTACTTGCGCAGTATTTAGGAATTCAGTTCCCATGGCAAGATTCAATCTAGGTGGTGCAAGATACCGCCTACTACACGGCGTACCGTTATTGCAATTATCCACCCATCTGAGAGACCAAAGCAAGCTAAGCTGGCTAAGCTGGCTAAGCCAAGCCAGGACAGAAACAGAAATAGCCTCGAAGTAAGCATGCTCGAAGTTGATGATGGCTTGATAATGCAGATGCTGTTTCACCTTATGATTAGGGTGTGTATTTTCCGGTTTTAACCGAAAAACACCGATAAACATCCGTCGGTGACGAAAATACGAAATCGGTTAAAACCGAAAAACACCGGTGGTTGGATATTTTCGCCCTGGTTAAAATCGAAAAACACCGGTCGTTGCACGTTTCCGACCTAGCGTCGAGCGAAACCCTTTCCGCGTAGAGGTTCGTCAAACGTGTTATCTCGTGGATCCTGCATTCTTCTAGTGTCTATACATGGCTTGCACGTGGCGTCAGTCCGCCCTCCTTTCTGGGGGTCAAAATCGTCGAGCCAACGCAGTGGAAGCTAAGCTCTCACACGCCTCTCCTTCATTGTGTCTCCCACGGCCCCCTTTTGTGGAAAAATTAACGCAGTGGAGAGTACGCTCTCACGTGCCCTTTCCCCATTGTTTCTGGCCAAGTAATGTCGGTGCAAGCATGTATTCAGAGGTTGCTGTAGTTCCTGGAAGACACTGCCAACATCCGTGTCGTATGGGGCTACTGACCTTTCAGAACTGAGATGCGTTCCTTGTTATCTGTTTTGTTTCCACGGGCTTTTGGGGAAACGGAAAAAAGGTTTTGTTGGTGTGGGGGTTTTTCACTGTATATAAAAGGACCGTTCTGTAAAAAAAAATTGTAGACGTGTTTGAGAAGGCGCGTCCGTCCCGCGTTTGCGGCTTTTCGACGTGAGACTTGCTTCCCTTCGTCGTCACGCGAAGTAGAAGGCCACCAGGATGGGAAGTAAGCGGAAAGCTCAAGATGGACTACGTACGCTACAGATTTCATGGATGAATCTTCGTTCTGGTTCCGCGTGCCAATTGTTAACCCGTGCATAAACGTGGAGCTACCAGAGGGATTTGTGCCTTATGAAAGTACCTATCGGCTGGTCCTCCGAGACGAGAGCTAGCTCAGTGACCTAGAATCAGTTTCTTTGTGACCGCCAGTATGCTATAGCACCGTTGATCCAGTGTTATTTTGGAAACTTCATTTACCTGACTGGTCACTACTGCCCCAAGCCTCGCTGGACATTTTGGGATTTTCTGTGTCCAGCGCAAATGTGGAGCGTGCGTTTTCAAAATTGCGGGTTGTGAACCGCAAGGAACGTGCTGCCATGACGGATGCAAGCCTCTCGAAGTATGCTTGCATCTACTATAATAACCAAGTGTGAGAAATAGATGCTTCCTCGAGAAGAAGTGCATGAAATATGTGAATAAAATTGGAACTCTCTGTCTGTGACCAATCGCATTTTTTTCCACCGATAATCACCGATTTTAGCCTCGTCGTGAGACGTTCCACCGAAATACACCGGTGTTTCGAAAATAAATAAACACCGAAAAACATCCGCCGATTTTTCTCACAAATAAACACCGGAAAGTACACACCCTACTTATGATGTATGTACCACGGCAAAGGCTACAAGCGCGAGCTCCTTGCTCTAGGGCACATCTCGGCGGCACAAGCTCTCGTGCGTTAAGAGTACCTCCCAACCCTATGAGCTCGCGCTTCTAGCCTTGTTTGCGGTACAACATAAGGTGAAACGGAGTATAGTTGGTAATTCATGCTTGGATTGAACAGCGCGGAGACAGTTAAGCCTGGGGGGCTATGTTGCGCTTTTTGCACTCCCAGGAGACTAGGGAGAGGGAAGTGACGTCAACGACACAGCAAACGCAGAATGGGTGTTGATTTCGTTTTCTTCTGTCAACATCCAATCTGCATTTGCTGTGTCGTTGACGTCACTTCCCTCTTCCACGTCTCCTGGGAGTGCAAAAAGCGCAACATAGCACCCCTGGTTTAGAGTGCCTTCATACACAGGCGCGCTTTTGCTTGAGTGGTGACAACTCAGCCATTTTTCCGCCCAATCGTTTTTTTATGCATTTTGAAGTGCGCGCAAACCGGTGTCACTCAGCTTGAGCGCGTAGCATTGGCTAATGTATGGACGCCATTTTACCACCCATGTCACGCCACGAGTGCGCGAGAGCATCACGCGCTGGCACATTGATTGCAACAATGGATGTCTTCACCCTGAGACAGACAGACATGTAGGCACCCTACCCTGGTTCAGACTAGGGTGCCTTCATGGTTCGGACGGTTGCGTTTGACTGCGTTTGACTGCGTTGCGGTTGCGAGAAACCAGGACATCCCTGCTGCTTATATCGCGTGCCAAGATGATTCCTTGAATAGGATTCCACGCTTCATACGAAGCACAGATGCATCGGTGACTCGCTTTCTGTTCTCGACGCAACGCAGTCAAACGCACTCAAACGCAAGTGTCTGAACCGGCCTTCACACTCACAGGCACACAAGAAGGAAACAGACTCGCAGCGCTGACTTACAACTCAGTCCTATATTTCTTCTTCCTCAAATCTTCAACTTCTTCGCCGTTAATGAGAACATTTAAAATTTTTAAACACCAGAAACCAAATAGCCAATAAACATTAATAAATAAATAATAAATAAACGACAACTAAGAATAAAGAAAACAAAAAAAATTTAAAAATTAAAAAAAAACATTTAAATTTATTTTTTTAATTATAATTTATTTTCTAATAAAATCATTTTTTATTTTTTGTTTTATTTATTTTAGTAGTGATTTATTTATTTATTTATTATTTACTTATTAATATTTATTGGCTATTTGGTTTCTGGTGCTTAAAAATTTTAAATATTCTCATTAACGGCGAAGGAGAAGAAGACGACGATTTGAGGAAGAAGAAATATATCACTGAGTCTATCTTGGGATGAAAGAAAAGGAACGCTTCTGGTATGAAGGATTCTCAATCTTGTTATATTTTCTAACCTTTGACTTAATAAGAACGTCCATGTAATCCAATACATTCTTTTTAGCTGCATCAGTTCACTGGCCTTGGCCTTTGTGGCAGATCCATGGGGTCTGCTACCGGGAACATCTTGGAGGTCCTGCTTATACCAGAAAGTGGCTGGCAATTTCAGCTGGGTAGGCCAGAAAGGCAAAGGAAAGTTTCGGGATCTCAATGTGGCAGACATCATTTACAGTAAGACGCTTTTGTTTGTCGTGTGCGAGTCACCTAAGTTACTCACTAAACTAGTTATGTAAAATATTATACAAGGGCCTTGTCGGGTTCAGAGCTAACGTCAAACGCAGATTGCATTGAATATTCTTGCCCTGGCGGTAAAATTAAGCAAAACTGATTCTACATGAAAACTGACAAACTAACCTGACTCGGGAGTTGGAGAATGATACTATTTTCTGAACATAGTTTTTTTCAAATAGGTGAAACCTTTGCTGTGGGGGTCACATAGCCATGTATATATAGTTCTGTGTTAGCACTAAGGGACGTACTTTTCTGGAACATCTATTTTTATTGACAACAATTGTGATTCTTTTCTAGACTATCTTTGTTTTCTGCTGTGACTGTCATCACAAATCAATGTTTCAGGGGCAGTGAAAGCAAATGATGAGTGTGCAAACAAAGCTGACGTGGAGACCATCCTCAAAGTGTGGCTGCGCCGCGCTGGAGAGAAACTGAAAAATCTGCAGTCAAAAGCCGGAGATGTTCCACATGATGGTAAGTTACCTGATTACCTGTTTTTATTATTAGTGCTTATGGAATTGATTTTTTTTTCTAGATCCCGCTGACTATTCGAACTAGTGCTGGCCAAGATGCGAAGCAAGACTGCATGTCTGGTGCAGACATTGAAAAAAGTAATGTATGACATTTGCTCTCCAATAAAGTATTTCTTGAACAGTTACCTTTGTTTGCAATAATGAATGGCATGATCATGATCATAGTTACAGGCTAAGAACATAGGGCAAAGAAAGACGCAGAGGAGAAAGCAGACGGGATGCTGGAGGGGAGAGGTTTTCTTCTCTCCTCTTCAGCATTCCGTCAGCTTTCTTCCCCCTTTCCCTTGCCCTGTGTTCTTAGCCTC